TCGGAAAATACTCGGAGCTATTATTCGAACGAGTTTCCTTAACTTGTGAGACTTTTTGACAATCACAAGCCCTCCCGAAGCACATCTCACAACTCAACCAAAATGGGCGCAACGACGCAACCTAAATACTCCTACCCGCTGCCCCCACCCCTCCCCCAGGCGACAAATAATGACTTGTTCTCAAAAGAATGAATTCTTTACAGGAGTTAGAGCTCGGTTTGGGGGTCTAGTTTTCGCGGAACACAATTCGCAATCTTATCCAAATGTATTAGCTCAAAATGGAGAACATCTTATTTATTTCGTTCTTACATTGTTTCCAGCCGCACACTTCAAGCCTAAGGTAGATCCAAGAGATGCTGACCACAACAGACGATTTATACGTAAGTTTTTTTTTTCAATTTTTTTCTTGTCACTCGTGTTCGTATTCATGTCCCTCGTTTAAGCCCAAAGGTTGCCACTGGAATTCATTGCAGATTATCTAGCGTGACAAAGATCAGATTGCTAGGTTAAAAAAGCTGTAGCCATGATGTACACTCGAAATTAACATACCCCTAATATGAATAATATCTCGCTTGCTGGATAAAAACAAAAAAAAAAATAAATGCAATTGAAGAATCTTACAGTAATTTCCCACAAAGTTTCAAGATGAATGTTTGTAGATTGAAATTATAATTGTTCAACTTGAATAAAGCGCAGCTTGCAATTTTGTTTCAAGTCTCTGATTAGTGTAGAGCTGAAATTATTGAAAAGATATTTCTCTCTTCAGCTGGCTAAAGATGGGAGAGAAGATTTCAATATTTTTTTTCTTGTTGAGCACATACACTATCCTTTAAAAAGATATAAAGGTTACAGGGAATTTCTCTAACCATTTACTTGCCTCTAAATTAAAGGTTTATTTTCTGATATTTATTTCACTCGCTTAACAAAAGGCTATGAGGCATAATACGCAAAAAAAATTAAAACTGTTCCATTGGTAACAATCTCCTGCCTCATGTTGATGGAAAGAAATCTTTTGTTTTTTTTTGTTGAGAATTCCTCAGTCTTCCAATTGCAAAACATTGCTTGTAATTCTGTCCACAAACTAAGTCTAGCATCATTGTGGAGCTGAGGTGATCATCATCATCTAGTTCGAAGTCTTTTTATTTTTATCTTTCCTCATTCTGTGCTGTCTATGAATTACATCTCCTTTATTGAAGATCCTCGCACATGATTAACTCTCTCCACAGACGAAACCAAAGAAATTTTCGAGAACTCAAGAGTATTTCCCGATTTGGATACTCAGACTCCTAAAGAAAGTGAGTAGATTCCTAAGCAGAAAATCTACTTGTCAATGAGTAACCATGGACCTTAGCTGTCTCAGGGATACTAGAATATGCACGAAATGAAAGATGACTTCCAAATAGACATGGTTGTGTGAGACAGAAGTCATGATTGTGTCAGCAACCTAGACGCTGACTTTTTTCCTAAACTCAAATGTTTCGCAAAGGACTCTACGTGACAAAAGATTACAACAATTTGGACATGAGTTAGTGGGTTAAGTTTTCCCAATTCAGCATCACTCAAACCGTTCTGGCTGAAATAGTTGCGGCATTTTAACCGGGTTAAAAGCCGTTTGACATGACTCATCAACCAAGTCACTCGAAAATAACTTTTACTAAGTAGGACACAAAAAGAACCAACCAGCCAAACTAAGTGAGAATGCATGATGCCAGTAGGGTGTGACTCTAGACTGAAACCAAGTCATGGGTCCCTTAAACTTCCAAATGTTTGAACAGCCTCTTTTTCCACACACTAACACTCAATAACCATCAAAAAAAGGTGGAGAAGTGAGAGATATGACTCGATATATCCCTATTACTTATCGAGTATTCATTGAGTTACAGCTAACAGTTATAGCTTCCTGCCACTACTTTGATACTTCAAAGCCAACTATACTTTTTCAATTTATTCTTTCTATTTAGATGGGCTGAACAAGTTACGAGGCAAGCCAGGGAATCTTCACGAGGACCATTTCAAGCCTCTTGAGCCAGGTAAAGTGGCATTTTTAATATCATCTCACATTTCCTGTTCCCCATCCCTAACTTTTGACATCGCTTGTGTAGATTTGAAAATAAAGCGCAGCTACTTATTTTCTCCAAGTCTGGAGTGTAAGTGTAGCATGACTTTCGGCACACTGATAGACCTGAAAGAAAGCCGGATATGAGCCATGACCGAGAGGCTGCAGTTTCATTCCTTATTGGAAACTTTCGAGGATAGAAACGAAGAGGTCCTATGTAAACGCCAACACTTGCTGTTTGGACGCACGCTTGACGATCTAAGACAGTGAACATGCAATTTGACGATTTGAAAAATATGTCTCTACTTAAGAGACTCGCTTTAGCAAACATCGGGCAAAAGGCCTAATCAGTTTCCAAAATTTAGGCCTTTAGAAACTTCTTGCGAATATCATCTTTTGGCGATTAGTTTAAAACCAAACTTTTAAGCGATTGCTTGTTTGACAATGCAACAAAATTTATTTTTCATAGGATACATCGCTTTTGTAAAAGTCGTGGCATTGATGGGTAACCAACCGCTCCATGACTCGGAAGGTCTACTTCCTAAAGGGAATCTACTACTAAAGATCGTTCTGAGTGATGGCAAAGTGCATCAAGCAGAGCTGAATGGAAGCAAATACCAAGGTCACCAAAACGAAGAAGACTTGAACGCCGAAAGTGATTTTAACCCGCCGCTCATCTGCACTCGTGAAGAAATAACAAAGGTTTATCTGGCGGCTCGAGGAAATAATAGATGGTACGTTGCGTCAATCGATACCTACACCGCGGGATCGCATAGAGCCTTCACTAAACTGACCAATGATCCAGGCTTCAGTATGTGGGTGGACGGCAATAAAGAACATGATTACCCATACCACGCCAAAAAGCACCTCCTCACCTATGCTGTCGCAGGATCCTGTATCACGTACATACGCGTTGAGGCAAGGACGAAGGGAAGCATGAAAGGAGATGGCTCCTCAAAAATGGATAGAAAGAGCTACTTCCTTATCCTGGTTTTGACGCAGGGCCAAAAACTTAGGGCAGAACTTGTAGGATATGAGCTACGAAGCCAATCCTCTGTGCTAGAGCTGAACTTCGTCAGCCGATTTCAAACCAGAAGGTGCGTTTCGATGTCCGAAATTAAGGAAGTACGCCTAAAAACTCATCATCAAGGAAGTGAAAATTGGCATATATCATCCATTCACACTTCTGCTAAGACTGGTGAGGAGCAGTACATGGATTTGACAAGTGATCCACACCTCAACAAGTGGCTTAGAAAGTACAATTCGAAAGAAATCAATCTAGAATGGGTACATCAAGAGACTTTAACCTGTGAATACGGAAATCCATCGTGCAAATGCATGGCACACGCAGAAATTTGTAAATTTTATCTTGAAGTTGACGAAGTTCGAACCTTCACGAGCTATCAAAAGTTGTCGGTCGATGAACCAACAGGAATAGCTTTGCGAGGAGCCGAGGGAGTGAGCTATTATTTCGATAAAAATGGAATACGTTTGCCACTGCAATCTAATAGAACATGTTCAACATTGGACCCGGACAAATGTACTTATCCCCAGTTTGTAGATGGTAAAACGTACCGTATGGCAATATCCATCAATGGACTAATTCCTGGACCTACCTTAATAGTTTATGAAGGGCAAAAGGTTATTATTCATGTTCACAACAATCTCACTACTGAAGGTATTTCAATTCACTGGCATGGAATGCATCAGAGAGGAACACCTTGGATGGATGGTGTGGGGCAACTCACTCAATGTCAAATAGGACCATCATCAAGCTTTTCATACGAGTACACTGCTAGTCCTTCTGGAACGTTTTGGTACCACTCTCACAGTGGCGCACAAAGAACAGATGGCATCTATGGAGCACTTGTAGTCCAAGAAAATGAAACAAGGTTGAACCAAATCCGAACAGAACTGAACGCTAACTTTCAAGATCTTCCAGATCAACACACCTTAACGCTTCTAGACTGGCAAGGGGAGGCATCTTTGGACCTGTTCACACAGAGCCAAGCAGGCTTGGGCTTTTATCCAGACCAACCATATGGCGAAGTACCTACTCCGTCTGATCAAAGGTATGCTAGTACACGTAGTTTTGACAACGGCGGGGCTGGACCTATCCCCTACTTTTCTGGAATCATAAATGGCAAAGGCAGACATGTTGATGTTCCATACAATAAAACAAGACTGAGTATATTCACTGTTGAGTCCGGAAAGATATATCGCTTTCGACTCGTAGGAGCCCAAGGGCTTTATTCTTACAGCTTTTCCATTGATGGTCATAAACTGATTGTGGTCGGCACTGACGGCTATTGGATTGAACCCGAAAAAGAGGTTGATTACATCATGATCCATCCCGGAGAGAGATATGACTTTCTACTCAATGCAACAGAGACAAGTAAAGACTACTGGATTCGTGCAGAGACTATGGAGATTAATCAAAATGGCCAAGGGCCCCCTTACGAGTCACTAGGACATGTGGCAGAAGCTATTTTGCACTACAAACAGGATGGAGAGTCGCCCGATCCAGATGCCGATGTGCCGTCGCATAGATATGAAGAAATCAAAAACAGTTCTACTCTCAGAGTGTGCACCAAGGAAAATCCATGCAAAGCAGTGAACTGCCCATTTAAGAAGTTCCATTCTTCATACAACATTACCTGTACTAATGTAGACGAGCTGCGTTTACTTGAGCCAACTCCACCTGGGGAACTTCCAAATGCAAACCCTAACAGCCAATGCCGAAATTGTACTCATTTCATCAATTTTAGTTTTGAAGGTGGATCTCAAACTAGTTCAGTGAACGGGCGAATTTTTTATTCTTCCTTCCTTTCCACCCCTAACCCAATATAACGATTTCGAAAAAAAAAAGACACGATCTGTAACCTTACGGCTGACTGCAATCCATCGACACTCGAGTGCTCATGTGTGATGGTGATAGACATTCCATATAACGAAACTGTTCAATTGGTGTTTTCATCAATGGGTGCTTTTCTTAGTGCTCATCCAATTCATCTCCATGGCCATACGTTTCATGTTGTTGCCGTTGGATATCCCGAGTATGACAACATCACTGGTTTTGTTAAAAAACGCAACAGTGATATATCCTGCGCTGATGTTAACTGCACTAAAGAAGGGTGTGTGAACGAAAGTTGTACCAGACCAAGCTGGAAGACAGAGCCAATGAATTTTGACATCAATAACCGCACGATCAGAAAGGACACAGTAATGGTCCCTGCTGGCGGCTACGTTGTCATCAATTTTCTTTCTGATAATCCAGGCCAGTGGTTTCTTCACTGTCACAAAGAATTGCACCAACTTGAGGGAATGGCACTAATTGTCAATGAGGCTTTGGAGGAGCAGCCCAACCCACCCGACGGCATGAACAGGTGTGGAGACGTTGATATGAGTTATAATGAGACTAGTTCGAGGGAATAACCCTGATTGTTAATGAGGATTTGCAACGCAACTTGCAATTGAAAGCACTCGATGGCATGAACAAGTGTGGACAATTTAAGATAAGTCATAATAAAACTCAATCATAATTGTCAATCACAAAGCTAAGACATTCAAAACTGTTTGAAAAAGGATAGGTCCCGACATTTTTAGAAGCTATTAACCTCAACAAAACTACTACTTGAAAAAAGAATCCTGCTAAGACCCATAATTAAGTCAATTTTTACATTAGAGTGGGTCAAATCGAATACTCGGTATCAAGTGGGAAGTGTTTTTTGTATTCTTAGGCTGTACGGGATTGTTCCATAACTTTTTAATCACCAACTCGGTTATACGTGCATTGTTTTAATTTAAAACTAAGTATGTTAGACTAGTGCGAGACAAATGTGGGACTAGTACTAGACTAGACAAGTGTGACATAATTTGTAAGTATTTTTTGTTTATATAGCCTTCGCTGAGTTATTACAACATTTTCCTTATGAGTATTATATCACCGACGTGATTTTTTGTGGATCTTTTAAGATCCAGAATTAAGTGTTTTACACTGAAGTGATTCAACTTGAGTACCCAGTAACAGTAGAATTTTTTAGCACCTGTGAGCTTTCCTGAAGTTTTTTTTATCACCTCGTTACATTGACAATTTCTAGTACAAGGACTCGTAATAATTTAAGCGTCTGTTAAACTACACCATATGCTGTGCGATCAAAGACAAATCATTTTGAAAGGTTAGATTCAGAGATACTCTGACACTTCATCAGTCAAATCTTAATCAATTTTTAATACAAATTAATTTCTCTTAGTTTTCAACGATAGAAAGTTTAACCCTTTAACTCCCAATATCTCCTTAGTAATTCTCCCTAATGTCTGCCATACAGTTCTTGTGATGTTAGTTTTGAGAATTTGGTATTGGATCAACTTATTATCCGAGCAAACCAGTGAGCGCGGCGAACGAGCGAGTTTTTCGATGTATCGCAACGAGAGATTAAAAATCGTTCTCGCGCACTTTCCATGGAATGATCTCTCTTTGGTTGATGGTAAAATAACTTTGATTCTTTCCGTCGTTTATGACAACTTGATGATTCCGGTTTGCCACGTAACCGAAGAAACAGGGAGAAATGGGAGTAAAGCTATTTTGGATCAATATTAGTATCTGGGCAACTGCCCACCTACCCCTCCCCTAATCCAACATTAACCCTAACTTGTTATCAATTGACTGTTGTTGAGTTAGGGGAGGGGTAGGTGGGTAGTTGCCTAGATACTGATATTGATCCTCTATTTCTTCATTGAGAGAGAAGAGTATTTCTAAAGATCTCATGTGCATGAGGTCACTTGAGAACTGAGAGGGATGAAAGGAAACGTAAAATAAGGATTTTCACATTTCAAAGATTGGAAGCGAACGACTGTGAAAATACATCGTTCGTCTATCAGAAACAAGAACGATAGCACTTGATACAAAGCATGTATGAACTAAAATCGATTTGTTCACGTTCCCTAGCAATAATAAGATTTTCAGGCACAAAGTTTCCTATGGATATCCCATTGCCTTCCACTTAAACCCTTGTTTCTTTCCTTTCCTGTCATTTCAAAAGAGACGGAAAAGAAATTCAGTTTGACACGAGAACGTATTCGGGATGATTAGCATCAATTTTAATTAACTCGCATTTACCGCCTCGTTCTAATTCAATTCATCAGCCTTGAGGTACTTAATACATGCAGCCCATAGGCTGAAGATGTACACATCGAAGTTGTGCACATTTTATGTGATAATCTGGATATTCTGTTGCACCTTTTGTTCTAACGTCGACGGCAAGATACAACCATGTAAGTTGAATATGTCGCTCTACTGATTGTGACATCAGTTGATTATCAAATGAGAGCGAAAATTGACGCTCGCTGTCTTGAATTTGCGTCGAGGTTTCCTTAGAACAAAGCGCGTGCTCGGTCTTGTTTGGCTTTTCCATCCAGAGATTTGATTACTTCGTCTCTCTTCTGGCTGTCATAAATTTCCTTGCTCATTAGTGAAGAGAAGTTGCGTTACATCAAGATAACACATTCTTGCTGGCATATTTCTGTTGTCTCAGTAGATAGCATACTTCATTTTATCTCTCAGTTAGTTCGTGCACTGTGACTGGTGAATCAAGCGGGCCGTATTTCACTGTAAGGCCCGCTAAGCTTAAAAGTTTCTTTCAATCGGAATCCTTCCTCTCCATTTGAACCCAGAGATACAACAAATATCTCACTTACCACATTTTCAGGGCACGGAACCTCCTTTTCCAGCTAAGATTCATGACCCAAGCACGAAGAGCGGTTCTTACATCCCAGCGAAGTAACTCGGTCCGTAACTTGCAGTACGGACCGAGAAAATGAGGTTAGTAAGAGGTATGAAATACTGACGTGAGTTGAAGTTACTTCTAGGGGTTATAACTAGGGACTGCTGCACTGACTTTCACGTAACAAGATACATAAAAAAAAATAGATCTGCAAAGAGTCCAAACCCAATCCATAAACATTTGCTTACAGTTAACAACTCCAAGATTGTTTCTGCGTTTGATTTATTCCATGACAAGACGCCACCAACATGGGAACGAGGTCAAATCGTGGGTTACAGCCTTTTTTCTGCGATGGGAGAGGTACATTTCAAATCAGACTCCAGAGGAGATTTAACTATATTCAGGTCAGGATAAGCCGTTATATAAAAATTCGAAAGAAAGTTTTTCCTGTAGCACACAAGTATTGCAAATCAAACCCAAAATTTTGACGTCGCTGCACAGGAGGCCGTATTCACCCCTGTGGTAATTGCATTGTATCCGCAGATTAATCAAAGACCATTTTTCAATTCACAAATAATTTATTTAACTGTGTTTTTCCGTTCGTCATCCATCTGGTGCTCTCTCGCTCGAGTAAGACTTTTCCTCAGCAAATTGTACCGAATTTTTCTGGATCCAGCTCCTCGCACATCAAATGAGAATTCCGAGGAAACATACGGAGCATTTGCTTGCTTTGTCTAAAGGAAAACCAAAATAAAAATTAGTAACGTCTGCATAAGAGATCTTGAAACCGCACTTGCAACTTTAATTCTACGGCAGGCGTTGATAATCTATTTCGAGGTATTGAAGCGATGAACTCAAAGTTTGGGATCAAATTAATTCCTTGCAAACGCAGTTCCCCTAAACTAATCTTGCTTTTTGCAAATATTTTGAAAAAGCGATTAGGTCTCGCAATAAACTTTAACGTAACAAACTACCATTTCTAAAGTGCAAATAAAAAAAGAAGCTGATGTCATGTGAATGTAAAGAAGGAAAAAATAAAACGAGCGACTAATGTTGGGGCGACTTTGCAAGTAATCGGCACAAAAAGATAGGCGCAGTAAGATACAAACCACCGCTCAGTATATCGTGAAGACAAGTTACCAGCGACAAAATAAGCGTAGCAGAAGAGTCATTGCTTAAACAAAGGCGGGGAAATGAGACATTTGTTTATCCATAAAGAACTCTAGAAAAATTATCGCCTTTACTCACCGACAACATAATTGCAGCGGGAATTTCGATGTTTCCTTTCAATAGAGCGTTCACTTGTTGAAGTCTATCTAATGGTAATGGTGTTAACACGTACAAGAACTTCCGCGCAGGATCAATATTCCTCACGATTCCTATAACGGAATTAGACATCAGACCAACGGAAAAAACCACAAAATACAAAATGGCACAATGTGTAGTCTAGCTCTTGTTTCTCTTAATAACACGAAAAAATAGAAATCGAAAATGAAAAATTAGTCGAATGAATAATTTTTTTTCTCCCTTTATCTGCCAAGAGTGACCAAGAAAGAATTTTTCTTTACAATATCAATACAATATCAAACAGACAAGTGATAAGAGTACAGAAAAACAACAACAAGGGGATTATTAGTTGATAAAATACCAAATTCTCCGAACTAACACCATGAGATGAGAATTGTATGGCAGACAGATAGGAAAATTTGCTAAACACATCTTGGGAGTGAAAAGGAGAACGACATTCAGTCAAACTTTCCTATGAAGAAAATCATGATATCCCCAAGTATCAATTTTTCCTATTTTCCACAAGAGGACATTTTCACTGTGATGTTACCCTCGCATAGAGTTTTACAGAAAAGCCAATTAACTTCCAAGATCTCATCCTTAATTCTCTCCTCTTGCTTCTCCATATTTCCTTGTAAATTTGCTATAAGAATTTGGTGTTAGTTCAGGATAACAGCTTTTACCTAATACGTTTCAGTATTCTCGTAAACTCTTTACCGTACTATGTATTGATATAGCCTACATGTAGCCGTACCCCCCCAACCTCCAGGTGAAACGGAAGCGAGGGAACGTCTCGGCAAACCTGACACTAATGGTGTTCCGTGACGTCACTCTAATTTATGCAAAATAATGTCAATTGATACGAAGTGGCACGTGTTAGCGAAGGGTTATCGAGATAAACAAAAACATTGAAGTGAATTCATTTTCCATTTTTTGGGTAAATTTGCAATTCAGCGTCCGAGTTCAAATATATCCTTTGCTTTAAAGATATAAGGAAAGATTATGAGCGATTTTTGGATAGAGTAAGAAGAGGACGATGTTCGATTGGCACCGCGCTGACCAAACAAGATTTTAACATCCACGCGGTTTCTGCTTGCATTTGTAAATAGTACCACGGTCGTCGAAAAAATATCGATTATTTGTCGCTGAATCTCAAAGTTTTAACAGATTTCTATAAGAGATAGTTACGCTACAAGCGTGAAGAAAGAGCGACTCTTTTCTCTGTCGAAAGAATCGCCGAAAGAAACAGCTAGCTTTAATTTGATAGCCTCGCAGCACCGTTCGCAAAGAGATCGAAAGTTGAAGGCGGAAAATCCTCTTGGCCTAAATACATTGAGATAGTGCACCTGGTCTTCTGTGAGAGCTTTAACGGGCGGCACAATAAATATAGTGACCACTTTCATCTAGAGAAGACAGGCGATCGATCACTGGCGCTGCTTGATGTATTAAAGATTTTCCATAGCCAGTTGGTAACGAAACGGAGACATCGTTACCTTCGAAAAACATTTCTGTGGCTTTCTGCTGTTCTTCTTGAAATGTCTCTATCCCAAAAGTCGCGCAAACTTGCCTTAAAAACCTCGTCGTAGATCGCTGTTGTCTGAAAAGTTGACCATGAAAGCGTTCTGTTCACCAGTTCGTTAGTATGAAAATAAATTACCAAATCTAGCCAATCAGAATTGACGAAAGAATCTACAAAAGGGGTTAACCAATAAAAAGTCATTATATATTTTCTTTCAAAAGAGTGACGTCACGGAACATGATTAGTGTCAGGTTTGCGTAGACGTTGCCTCGCCTCCGTTTCAACCTAAGCGGGAGGAGGGTACAGCTACACGTAGACTAGACTTGATATTATAGGGAGATGTTACATGTTAGTCACTTCTGGGGGTTAAAAGAGGTTATGCCTACCAAGACCAATGCATTCTGCAACTGGACTTTTTTCCATGAAGTATGGTGTGTTATTATCATCCCCAATGCGGTGCATCTGAAAAAAAAAAAGAAAAAAGTTTGCCATCAGATTTTTTCCCTACAATATGGGTTTTTTTCCGAGGAGTGCCTATAAACAAGGCCACTTAACCTTGGGCAAATTACAGATGTAACATTTTTTGTATACCGTAAGGAACGAGTTGAAAAATTTGTTGGCAAACTGGCAAAGGAGGGTGCGAACTCGCATCACTTTTGGGGGGCGAACTCGTAAACGTGATAGGGGGCGAATTTGCAATAGGGAGAAACCTACATAAACTTTACACTTTTATATCTTTCAACTCTAATCGGACTGCTGTTTCTCCAATCAAGCCGTCGTCAGTTGTTTGTAAAATGGTCATAATGAATTAAACTACTGAAGAGGAGCTGTGTAATAACAACGTCTGGGAGTTAGGCGGCTTTCATTTTTATTATTTGCGGTGTGGATGTACGGATTAAACTGTTTACGCATCGTACCTCGTCTGATTTCATCTTGGCCAGTCCCACAACACTCGCATTTATTGAGAACAGACTTTGATTCCAAGGAACCTATACCATGGAAATTGTAAAAAGTCAGTTAAGAAGGAATTTTCCATATCTGCTGGGACAGGAGAAAAGGAAGTTTTCGGTTCACATTTCTCCTTAAAATAATGTATCAAGATAGCTAACGCTGGGAAGCCTCACAGGGCAATCATCAGCATTTTGGTCTCGTAAGCTAGTTCAGAACCTAATTTATCCAACGATACAATGAGATCCATTTAGTTCAAAACAAACTATGACTAGTGAGAGATGACATTATTCAGTGAATGATACAGGTATACTCTGAGAAGAAGAACTCCAAGTGCTCCCACTAAATAGGAATGGAACCTTGGACCTTCCAATTAGTACTTCGGATGAGCTGCCACTGTGCTATAGGAGACTCGTGGTAAGCTGGGCGGTTTAATTAGGTCCATGGTAAAAAACTTTCTGCATACTACTAGGATAGTAGAAATGTCGATATATGACGCTTATGCACAGTTTTGATGTCAATGAAAGTGGTAAATTTTAAACCACAACTAATTCAATATCTGCTCTTCTTCATTATTACCTCTGAATGAATGACATGTATGGCCAAAATGTTCCAAGGAACTTGATAAGGGATGCACGACATCAAAGATGCCACATTAACAGCCGGCGGAACTTCACGAGCTTCGGTTATTGCGTTGTTCGTTATTGTCCGACTGAAATAGGCCAACAATGCCAAACTGCGTTGATCCCTAGGGCTGAATTTTGATCTGAAAGGCGAGGAATGTTCATGTCAATACGTAGGATTCCAGGTGACTAAACAAAGTCAAATCTGCATTCAATCGGAGTACATTTAAGCGGTGCAGTAGGAGAAGCGTTGGCTTAAAAGTTAGTGGGCTGGACTTCGGGTTGAGAAGTTTCGTTTCGAGACCTGACTGAGTCAGTACGTAGAAAAAGAAACAGCGACAGTGAAGTCATTCAGTTTGTTTCTCACTGTAAAAACTGAAAGTGGTAGATACGGACGGATCACTGTCAGTAACTGAGTAACTACGCAACTACCATCCCCTACCTCAACAACAGATAACAAGTTAGGGTAAATGCCGGGTTAGGGGAGGGGTAGGTACGCATTTGCTCAGATATTAACACTGATCCAGCTGTATCTGAACAACTTTGCACCTACACTTCCCCTACACCAGTAAATGCAGGAACTTACGTTGTTGGATTCGGCCCTTTTGATTCAGACGTACTATCTATTTGCAACACAACAGGTTTGAACGACACACTACAACTTCTCCGCTCATTCGCGTCAACGTCCACAGTTCCGTCGCTAGATGAAAAAGAATTGAAAGAAAATTGTCCATTTAACAGTTGCAGCTGAGTCGCAAGCCTCCTTCCATTGGAGGGCAATCATATACGTCGAAGTTAACAGCGCCATGGCTAAAGGAAAAAATAAAACTGTTCATTACACAGTTGTCGGTCTGTACTTGGTTTCCAAGCCTTCTTTCATGGGAGTGAGGCTATGGGTGACCTCGTTTTGAGAGATGTGATAGCTTGTCTCATTCCTATTTTCCCATGTGCCGCACTTACCTCTGATCCTTATGGACACTTTCGATTTCATCATCAGCATCATCTGCGAACGCCCATCCAGGTGTGTTCATTAAGAATTCGTCTGTTATAGCTGGCAAGTTCTTGTTGACACTTTCTTCTGATGTGTAATTTAACTGGATGATATGCGAAGGTTTCACCATTCGAATCACGTCTAGCAGTATATTAACTCCCATCCCTTGAATTAAAGAAAAAAAAAAGTACATGATCAGCAATTCGATTCATGCCATGATTTGTCTTCAAACATCTAACCTAAGTTTCTCAAGTTCATCAATTTCAACCCGTGTTCACCATTTCCATTCTCAGCCATCCTTGTTCCTACTAGGTGTTCAGTTACCATTATCCCATTTCTTACCCATTTCTTTGCTGAATACCTCTAATACCAACGGAATTTACGGTTCGTACTGCAAGTTACGAACCGAGTTTCTCCGCTTAGATGTATGGCCCTAGAACGAAGCAAGTGGGCCATAAATCGGGCGGAAAATACGAGGTTCCGTAACTTACAGTACAGACTGAAAAAACGAGGTTAGTAAGATATTTTTATATATCTATGTTAAAAAAGAGGAGGGAGATTTCAAATGAAACAAGCTTTTGAATCTAGCAGGCCTTACAGAAAAAACGGCCCGCTAAATTGACCAGTCGTAAACGTAGCGCACGTACTGAGAGATATAATAATTTAATTTTATTGTCGTGTAACTGAATGACCTTTAAGACTCGTCTGAATACACGCCAATAACGCATGACAGGCATATTTACTTTCAGAACTAATTCGTATGATTACGAGAAGGCTTTGGGAAGAGAAATTTCGTATGAAATATTTTTAAAAACTAGAGGCTCAACGGCTTCCGTTCCTATGTACATTGTTTACTAGATAAAAGGAATACCAGTGGTTTTCTCTCCTCAGGGAACCTTTAGCAGGAAGAAACACTTTTGTCTCAGGACAAATAGACACAAAACCGAATCCGTTATTCGAACAAAACGTACACGGTACATGGACGAAAAGTATAAGGCGAACATATATGCCGTGAAATGTTAGGAGAAAAACATTGATTGATCCAATTTATTCTGTAAACTGTGGTGACTCTTTCATATTAGCAGTTCTTACCTATCACCCAGCCCTGTGTGTTAACAATCAGAGGAATCTTGCCCCTGTAGTGGTCAGCGTATGTCTTGTACACATCGTGAATACAGCGCACGTACAACTCTGGCCTATCTTTAGAAGAATTGTCTCCGAAAAACACAGACCTAAAGATAACAAACACAGTTTCATAGCAGTATTTTAGAGCATGTAAATCGTGCGCAGATCACAACTGTACGCGCGAGAGTGGAACCTAGTGTTCTTCAAAGGGCTAGGAGAGAGAACCCACCCCAAAAAAACCATTTTGAGCTGTCTGTATTACCTCAATCTATGTGGTCGCGAAGGACAAAATACAACGAGTTTATTCATGTACTTATTAATTTCTCAATTTTTTTTCTCTATTTCTCTAATGTAACCTGAGACTACCAACGCCACCTACCTCTCGGGTTGTCTGAGATGAGTGAAGGGAGGACCTGTAAAGAAAAGATTTGATAAATAATTCTTCCTTTAAGCAGATTTATGTTCTCTAGTAAATCATGTGTGAAAATTTCTTTATAGCTACAGACGATGCTTGCAACTGATAGGCTTGTAGTTTCCCCATTATCTGTTTGCTGGGTAGTGCATTTATAGAAGCAAAATAAAAATCATTTTTGGAAGTTAATGGGTTTTCCAAAACCATATAGGGGCTCAATAGAGAGGAAAGGTAAAACTTCGATTAAAATCACAGCAGAGAAAAGTGGCTGCCAAAATATTGTACCAGTGCAAAAACAGTGGTTGCTCCACAAAACAGCCTAAAGGAATAAAGAAGAATCCTTATACACAAACTACCCCACAGCATTAACCCCTTACATCCTAACATCAGTCTGTATAATCTCCATACTGTTCTCCATACATTTCTTAAGGTTCTGACCAGGAGAATTTGTTTAACAATCAAGAGTTTCATGAATTGGTGATCATTTCCTTTATTCTCATGACCTTAATGTGTGATTCAGGGCTGATATTGTAAGGAGAAATTAGATGCTAGTCACTCTCGGGGTCAAAGGGTTAAAAATGGGATGAAAATTCTTGCCTACATTATTTTGAGTCTTCTGCACTGAGTACTGCAGCTGAAAAATATTTCACAAAATTTTCGTCCAAAGTTCAAAGTTTTAACTTTTCCTAAGTCTTATTTAAGGAAGCCAGCTAGATGTTTACTTACCAAATAGAGGAGTAACAACTTTATGAAGTGAAATCAAACCAGGTGGAGTGAATTCTGTTTGCCCCACATCACACTCAAGGAAGTAAATTTCCTTGTGACTATGAAGAAAGGAAGATTGAAGTGGTGTAATTCACAGATGCAAGCAAATCTTATGTAGTAGAAGTAACTCAAATGTACAATACCTATTTAGAAGAAAGTTTGTTAGATATCTTGCAAATGTTGACTTTCCCACATCTTTTCCACCACATATTAAAACAACTGGGGTGTTTACTAGAAATAAAAACAAAATCAGTATTCAAATGGGTCGTGCAGAAACTTCAAAACAATCATCCAATCAATGTCAGTATCTGAGCCACCACCTACCCCTCCCCTAATCCAATAACAGTCAACTGATGACAAGTTTTAAGGTTAACATTGGTTTAGGGGAGGGGGTAGGTGTGCTGTTGCTCAAATACTGACATTGATCCCAATCATCCACTAGGTCTGAGTGAGGAGAAATGATAAGAAGGTTCAGGACAGTGAGAGATGTTGAAAAATAGGAGGATGGAAAAAAACAGAGGGCACCTGTAGAACAAGAAGAAATATAGGAAGTTGGGGAAAAGAAGGTACAGTTAAGAAATAGGGAAACAAGAGAAAATGGAAAGAAAAGGGGAAATAAATATATATATGCATATTAAGATATATCCAAATATTTATATACAGTATATATCCTTGCATTATCCAGCACACAGGTAATGAGGATACTCAAACTTATCAGGTGGAAGTTGTTATCTTAATCTTAAATACCAAATTCTTGTAACTAATTTATAGGGAAACTTGAGGGGAGGATTAACAATTAGATCTTTACAGTTAAATGGTTAACACGCCATTTGAACATATCCTACATGTAACAGGTTACCTTCCCCTGGAACACCTTCATCAGCATTTTGCAGTGAGCTGGCCATACCTTTCCACTCTTTAGGAATCATGAGAATGTTACATCTTGATTCTGGGTTCAGCTAAACAACACAATTTAAAGATTATACTTTTATTGCACATGTTAAAAAATAATCAATAAGGTCTGTGTTTTATGATGTAATATCTAGCCAATGGTTTCCCAACTATCAGTCTGTGATTGTGACAAAACAGTTTTGTGGTAGGAAATTGTGTACATCACCAGTTCAATAAACATTGCAGGCTGCATGTTATCTCATTATATAATTTGGCTGTTGTTTCATGCATGGGTCCTATGTCATTTGCTGTGACGAAGGACTAACACTAGAAACCTCAGCTTTACATTTATCAAGTTACATTTATCTACTCAAATGAATATGAAAGTGATCTTTGCTGTAATGAACACCACTTATGCAGTAGAACAGGCCTTATTTGGACCACTGCCTAATTAGTGTTGTTGGGGGCACGGTGGCCTCATGGTTAGTGCGCTTGACTCCGGATTGAGTGGTCCGGGTCTGAGCCCTGGCTGGGGTCATTGTGTTGTGTTCTTAGGCAAGGCACTTTACTTTCACCGTGTTTTTCTTCACCCAGGTGTACAAATGGGTACCAGCAAATAAGCTGGGGGTAACCCTGCGATGGACTAGCATCCCATCCAGGGTGAAGTAGTAATACTCCTAGCCGCTTCATGCTAAGGAAACTGGAGTTAAGTGCCAGCCCCATGGGTCACTTGGGCCTGTATAAATGCTTAACCCAATTAGTGTTCAATTTAACTGCGAAGATCACATTCATGTTCTTTTCTTAATCTGCAGTTCACATACTATGATTTTCATACATAATAAGATATTCACAGTCAATCATCAACTCAGTTGATAAAACCAAATTATTGTGTAACAACCCCACTGACAAAGCACCCCTGTCACTTTTGGATCTTCACCCTATTAAATATACAGTCATGTACATGCATAATCTCATTGTGAAGGATAAGTACCATTACCTTCCACTCCTACAGCTGTACATGCATGTACAGCTAGCTGCAAGTACAGCTATTCCATAACTGTACTCATACATAACTTGTACTGTACTTGTAAAAGCTTAACTAAACTTGTACTTGTAACTGCAAGTACAGCTATCCCATATCAGTTAAGATCTGGAAATATTAAAGGCACTACAACAACAAAAAGGACAAAGAGAGCAAATGACCTGTACACTTTTCGGTTCTTGTGATTGCAATTATTATTATGATACTTATTATTGTAAATACATTTAATTATTAGTTTCTAATTTTTTAAATTGCACTGTTTTAATTCAGTTTTTAACTGCCAGAAATGTTAATAAACTATTATTTATTTTATTCTTTATTTTAAGTAAGATCTGAATGTAACATGACACTACATTATATTTGACAATGAATAAATGGAGGAGAAAAAAAGTATATTAGGTATTCCTTACAAGAATGAATCCTTGCGCAGCAGTCCTTTTCTTCAAAGCCAGTTCTGTACTGCTTAACGAATAACTCTGTAATTAAATCACCATGTGTTAACCTTTACGCCTTAACACCAGTATGGATATTCTCCATACTGTTCTTTGCAGATTTCTTAAGTTGCTGACAAGGAGAATTTCTTTTACAATCAAAAGCTTCATTGGTTGGTGATCATTAATTTTCCTTCATTCTTAAGACCTTAGTGTTTGATTCAGGAACAATATTGTAGAGAGAAATTAGATGCTAGTCACTCTATGATCTAGTGGGTGAAAGGGTTATGGTGTGATGTAAAACTGAGTGGGCAGGTAAATGAGCAAAAAAATGTGCGAATGGACAGAGAAGTGGATGAAAAACAGATATTTAGACTGAAAAAGGAGTATGGACAAAGACAGACAGGTGCTATAGATTAGCATATCACACTGAAGGCAAATAGAAACAAACAAACCTAGAAGCACAAATTTTTGATGAATAGAGAAACTGATCAAGAACATAGTTACTATGCAGTGTTATTTGCAAAGTTATAGCAAAAGCATCTACCTTGTCAAGATCCAGGTTAAAGATTCCCTCATAGCATTGAAAGCTGGATACAAAGCTGGTCTCAACAGTTTGTAATGATGAAATTAATAGAACTGTGGCAGCTTTCTTGGCCCTTTTTACAGCTTTTTGGATCAAGTCTGATGACTGCTTTTGAAGAGTTTCTCTCAAAGTTCTTTTCTTTGTCTCCAGTTTGATTTTGGTATCACTAAACTCACACAATGAAATAAGGCTTGATGAACTTGGTGAAAAGATTTGAACTGCTTCATGTTCAGGTCCAATATTTGAGCCAAGAATATTCACAACTCCAATTAATACTTTGACATTGGCCAGTCCTTTCATGCAAACTCTCTACAAAAATGATGCACAATTTGCATTAGGGATTAACACATATACAAGGGCCAATAAGAAACGAGATAAAAATAATAAAAAAATGAAAGGGGTACAACCTAGAGTTCTCGATTTTATTCATTAGGTACGAGTAAAATGCTGTGAGCACCACCTACTGGGAGGGGGGGGACGGGGGAGGGGGGAGGGGGGAAGGAGGTCTGAGGGCGTCATGCTCCCTTGGAAAATTGTGACAAAATAAAGCAGCTAAGATGTGAACCCCTTTATTCTGAGCATGAATTATCACTGTTCGAAAGTGTTTGAAGCCAGTAAAAATGGAACCAGCAGTGAATTAAATTTAGAAGGATAACCAATTTTTACACTTAGGCATCTAACTAAAGCAGTAGAATGTTAAATCAACAGTTTAAATGCATGAGATGTAATAATCTCAGTGTGAGAGCATAATATTGAATTTGTTGGTGTGAGTCTCATGCTTACTGCCAGAGTTTTAAGAACTCTGTACAACCCTATACTGGAAAAGACAACAAGCCACATGCGTACCTGTCCTTTGGCAAGAAAAAGCAGACAAGCATTTTCCAAGTCACCTGAGAGAGACAATACACTGTAAAGTAAAGAAACAGAGACAAAATTTAACTCAGTTTTTCACATCCTATCATGTGTAAGTCAAATGATATCATACTATTTACCAGGAACCCAAGACCACAAGGAAGCAAGGATGGTCAAGAGACTCAACAGCTGTATATAATTTTACGTGCTGCCAAGGACCAGTCTATATACCCAGAGGCACTGGGTTTTTTTTTAATGTTTATTTTGTGCCCCAGAATTGCTGAGGTGTATGCCACTGCAACCACAGCATGTTCATGTACATATAAGTTCAGGAATCTTGGGCACTAAAGTCTCTTTCGATGCAAGCTGACATTAAATGGTTTCAAGGCTATTGCAACACGTTTTTGTGTATTTAAACGCGCTGACTTTCAATAATTGAACAATTTTTGTCTCGTCATGAGATAGTGTAGAAACTGACCTTTTAAGAGTAAGGGTAGTGCAAGCATCTTCGCTTCCTTCTTCTTCACATTTATTTGAAGGACTATCTGATTTGGAAACACACGGATCACTGTCTCTCCGAACTCGCTTTGTTTTCACCTTTTTCTCGGTAGCATTTGGCATTAGACGCCTCTTCTTTAGCCTACTATTTGGCATTTCCAATGATCTAAATAACTACTTCCTGAGAATATACGATCCAAAGTATTATTTTCGAAGTTTCAGCAAGGTTCCAAACTTCTAAAACAACTTCCCAAAATCATGTGTCCTCTTCCATTTCTTCCGCCATCTTAGAAATTAACTCGCCCCATTCCCTCTGTGAACTACCTCAGTGCCACTTCACAGGTAAATATGTCATATAAGGCACCCTGAGCGTCCCCGCGGAACGTACCTCGTCTCTCCACTATAATTCTCTTTTTTCCTGCTTATTACGAGGGATGCCTGTGGCACACCACGTTTAAAATTTGCTTGAGTGTCATCAAAGTCAGATTCGGAAATTAGCCGTGAGCTTCAGTGTTTTACACCGAAGTTCAACTCTGTTGGGTGGGGTTACCATGAGGTTTACCATTTTGATAGGTGACTGCACATAATATTTGCTGTTGTTGACTTTCTTTCCCTTGTCTTTTATTTTCTATTTCATTCCTTTACATTAAGAAGTCAGCACCAAATTTACAATTTTCCATAAAACCAGCATGACTGTTGATATTTACCAATGCATCCCATGTTAATGCCTTTAAACATCTTGTTCTTCTCTTTTCAACAGTGACAGCCTTGACCACTTAATTACCTGAAAATTACTTTGAGTATTGTACATAATCAATTGATCAATCAATTGATTTAAAATTAATTCTTTAATTGCCCATGAAAATATTAGTATTTGTACAGGAATGCCATAAACATTAAAATAACAGTAATTGCCTGTTACAATATTTGTCCCTAATTATTTATTATTGATACTATATGTCACAACCACGAGGCTAAAACTTTTCCTTCTGTTGTAATTTTTACAACATATTTCACTTGTATGCAAGTTCATTTTAATTATGCTAATGACACAAAATCATCACTCACTCAAAATTGAGCCTTACTTGAGTAAAAATTATAAAACTGCTTTGTCAAGGCTACAGTTAAATCTGATCATCAGTATGTTACAATTCATATTTACTGCTATCTGGAAGCAAATAACTTCTTGTTATAACCTTGCACCCATCAATCTTTACATAATTGTATTTTGTCATAAATTGCAAAATCACCAGACAGTTATCAAGCAATAACCCTCTCTACATCAAAGTTTGTTCTTTGATTATTTCCATCAATAAGAAACAAAGCCAGCAGAAAAAAGCCAGCTCAAGATTTTCACTTTTTGTCTTTATTACTTTACATGAAAGAAATATATACCAGTTTTCTAGAGTCCAGTGACAGCGACATGAAAAGGCTGATCTCAAATACTGCAGCAGAATTTACCAAAAAGTCAACAATGTTTGATGTCAACACACAATATGAAAATTAATGGGAGGGTTATAAAATAAATAAACCCCTTTCAGGCATGCTGGTGTGTTGGCTGATAATGTCCTTGGCCATGAGATTATACTCAAAATTTCACATTTACCCTTGAGGCTTCGCTTCTCAGCCAAATATTAGTTTCTTGGACAACATCTCTGCTGCAAATGTTACCAGTTAATATACCAGCTGCCTAGAGAGGTTTAATTACTGATTAGTGGATGATATAATCGTCATGTCATTACTTTTCTGTTTTAATTCAGCTATTACTGTTCACTTGTTTGGTTTAAGAGAAAAACTACCAGGTGGACTGCTTTAAAAGAATATTATCATTGTTATTATCATTATCATTTTTTACTCATTCTTATTACCATCATTATCATTATTGAGTTGTTTAGTCATCTTGTACTACAAATACCCCATTGATAATGATGGATGCTTCAATTATTTATGTTGAACACCTGGTGAAAGCCTATTGTAAAGTGAACACAAAATAGTAAAAATATTTTGAGCGACTGAAACAAATAAATCAGTCTAGCTTCAGAAGAATCAGCCTTCTCTAATGATAACTTGCTCAAATAACATTGTCTTCATGACCACCATAGTACTTAAGGTAAATATTACTTCTTAACTGTTGCATTTGCTGCTGTGTTATCGACCCCATATTTGTTGAGCCAATAACAAGCTTGTGTTGCAGCCATAGAGAACAATAATTGCCTTCATTCAATGAATCTCCACAGTTGTCATGAACACTTTTAATAAAACGCTGAATAAAATCATCCAATTTATTGTTTTCGTATGCATCAAGCAACATCTTAAGTGACACGTCGATCGAACTTAATACTTGACAACAAGGGCTTGGTCGGTGAATATTTTCAATATCCCTCATTATAATCTGATACAAGCCAAGCAAGATATGTTCAGCCGTTAGCCCATTAGCCAACAAAACATCTCCATGGTATGACCTCAAATTGTCGAAGCCATAGTCCCTTGCTGCAAGAGGACCTGGGAATAAATCTTTCCAACAAGCTGAGTTTAATTCATGCAAAGAAGAATCTGGTGGAATGCAATTGGGCTTGTGTCTGTTCCAATGTCTTTTTTGGCACGATTTTGAACAATAGAAAGCATGCTGACACCTCGAACAGCGCTTCATATTGCCTTCCTTGTCACACGCGTCGCAAGATTGTTGACCAGACATGTCTTGATTACAAATACGTTTAAGAGTTTCACGTGCGTTATTCACAAAAGCACACCCCAAGGAGTTTTCGCTAACAAGTGGAGATGTCGTGCTAACTGAGAAGGGAGTTACTATATCGGTCAGCATTAGATTCCATCCACCAAAACCACCTCGGTCGAGAGGGACTGAGATGGAATATTTAATGACTTGCAAAACATAACCGAAGATTCTCGGAAATCCGCAAGTGATGTAGCCGAACATCAAAAGCTGTAAATCCCACGATTCTTGAGGAACAAACAGAAACAGCATAGCGAGAATTTTAAGTCGCGAACCATTGATGGTAGACATGCAGATAATTTAGGATACGTAAATTCTGTTGATGAGGCGCATAAACATATTGCGGAATTTGAAACAGGATCGACGACGAAGTTTTCTTTCTTTAAAGCTGTCAAAGGTTTCGGGAACACATATATATATTGATATAGCTCTTTAGCATTACAAAGTTTTGCTATCGCTATTGTGCATTCTCACTAGTTTATCTAGTTCAAGTCCTCTGGCATGGCTTGGATGATACCACAATTGTGGAATCATTCGGGTTAATTTAATGCCTACACCTCCTTCCTCGGACAGAAGTCACAAAATACTGGGGGAAGATGCATGAGATATTTAAGGAGCAAAAATTCGTTTTTTACTGGTGTGCCTTTCCTAATTTTGGGAAGGAAAGTGTTCAAATGCCAGCACGGCATAGATAGAGCAGCTGGAGAGAAAAGGAAACGAAAAGATGCAGAAGAAGTACTGTATATAATAATTTCTTTTTATCCTCAACCTTTGTGTTTCTGTCAACTATGGCTTGCTAATTCGAAAGGTCAAATACTTGAATGGGTCATATTACATTGATCTCAGAATACTTTTATGACAAACGTGATAACAGTTCAATCTTGGCTAAATTGAAGACGGTTTAGAAGTTAACAATTATAAGAACTTTTCACTAACATATGCTGCTGACAAAGGAGAAAATATATGCAATTCTGCATTTTTTGCTTTCTATCAAGCAATCATATGTTTGCTCCTTATCACGCTATGACACTTCCGTTTTGTCACATTCCAAAAAATAACTTGAGAAATACACTGTCACTCATCTTACACTGTTATATTTACCTATTACAGAAGGCTGGAAACAAAGATTTTGTTTTCAAGAAAATAAGATTTCTTGTCCAAGACACAAGGAAGTTTGACTGCAAAGCACAAATAAAAATGCGAGAAATTTTATTTTTTTCAGAGAACAAGGTAGTTCTACTCATGTATAAACAGAACAAATGCGATTTAATAAATCAGATATGCAGCATGACTCCTTTTCTTCCATCCCCACTCAAAACAAGCAAACACACCTATAGAGGTTCCAGTCTGGTCTGCAAATGAAAAGGAGGAAGGTGATCACTGCAAAATTAAGCATTAGGGTTCTTATTTATAACATATTGATTATTGTATACTGATATCTAGAAATTAAGGTTGCAAGTAGCAGCCAGCTGAGTTATAGTTTGAGTTTTATCAAGTCCATTACTTTGTTAAATTTAGAGTAACCTTGTCTTGAGAGAGGAAAATTGAGGAGCTGTAATATACTTATCATCAATTAGGGACCACAAAGAAAAATTTATTTATAGAGACTTTTGAAGGAGAGGGGTAAGACTTGTGACAAGCTGGCAGACATATACTAGATAAACTTTACTGCTAAATGGGTTACAATACAAAGTGCTCAGTATTTGGATCAGCTATGGCTCAACTTAAACTTTGCTTTAGCTTCAAGTTTAATCCTTTGTGGTTTCCTTTCTCTGTGTTTATTTTTCACGTTATGTACACAGAAGAACACAAAAATGACAAGGAATGCTTTTGAATATTAAGAGGCTGGAATAAGCAAGAAACCAAAACTGAATTTTAAACAGTACAAAGTTAATTTGATCTTCCAATGATATTTAATTTTAACCATTAATAGAATTTGCTATTTAAATTTATCCCCTCCATTTTTCTGGATATTGTGAGCAAAAACAAACAATTATCACAAAATGCATGGTATACAATGGTTTGATTCACCAATGTGGCAAAGGCCTTTCACTTTCTATCCATAAAAAGGGAAATAGTTTGTAAAATGTAAGACATTCTGCATCTTGAGCATATACTTATTCATCCATGTGAAATTAAAGGTTACTTGAAATAAATGTGAAAGATTTATAGGATTTTCAGACCCCTGATAACAATTACTAATGTACTGCAGATTTGTTGTACTTAAAGGTTATGATTTTAGTGGAAATAGTGGAAGAAATTTCTGGACCTGGAATTTTGTTGCAAATGTCTGTTTAAATCAGTTTAAGTCAGTTAAAAACTCTCCTGTTTCAAGATTACATGATTACCACACCAGAACCTTTTGTATTCTATATTGTGCACCATGTTATGATTATGGTTTCAATAATAAAAGGTGCTGACTCAAGAACTTTGCAAAATATCTCTACATACAAAGAAATAGATTGTGGTTATGTACTCCAAATAGCAGGTCACATCAGTCTTCTGTAAGGAAGTAGCAGAAATTGCTATGGTGGTTTTGGTGGATGGAGAGAAACATCCACCAAAACCACTTGATTCTATGTGTTAAGAGTTATGATAATCATTATGAACGTTTGGTCGGTCAGCAATTGTGCACCATAAAAAATAATTAGCCAGAGCACTAACTGCTAATTAGTGGTATAAATCTTTTGTCTCCCTGAACATCTAACAGTGGCTATAGATAAAATTTAAAAAATATATTGTTGATGGTTTTGGTCAAAGTTTTGGTGGATGTTCCCTAATGACATCCACCAAAACTACGTAACATCTGGGCACCTTTTAAATACGCGAAATATCTGCATAAAATTGCGTAAAATGTTTTATAATACTACAATCGAACAATAAATTAATACTTACCATTTCTTGAGTAAAAAGTTTTGACGCAATTTCTCAAACAAATGATACACTTAGGTCGTCGGGATAAGTCGGCATGTTGTCGTAGCTTCGTAATTTTCATTTAGTATAACAAGTCATGAGTTGTCCATCATTCCATCTCAGTCCCTCTCGACCAAGGTGGTTTTGGTGGATGGAATCTAATGCTGACCTACTATATCACGGGCGACGAGTGGGGGATGAAGAAAAGACCGAAGTACGAAAGGTCAGCGGGGAAACAAATTTAATACTTCACATAGAGACATATCAGTTATAGTTGCGGAAAACAATAGTGTTGTAAAGCCGAAATATCAACAGTATACTTCGCTAAATAAAATGTTAAGCAATTTTTCAAAAGTGTTGATGGCACATATATCTTTTACTGCTGTAATAAACAATAGAGGCATCGGAAAAGGCATCGGTGGCATCCGGAAAGGCACCAAGAAGAATTATATTTACGTTTTGTAACTTGCTGCGTAAAGAAAAAAGAAAACCAGAACCGTGGTCCCCAAATGAATTCTCCCACCTTGCCCCAAAAAATTTTCAAGTTTTCCGCAACTTCACCTTTTCCTATTCGTAGGTCCGGCCAAGCCTTTATGGTCATTGGCTCCCGTATAGCCACTAACTATGGCTTATAAATACAGGTGTTTAGTGTTAAATTGTAGAACTCCCTGAAGAAGTCTACGACAGTTAAACGAAACGCATCGGGGAATAAAGAAATTTTAAAGCAACCGTTCGTAGAGTGCTGCTCACCAGTTTAGTTTAAGAGATTTTTTTTTAAAATTTGGTGCGATAGCTGTGGTCAGTTTTTCCATGCAGGTTGTCTGGATGGACCTTTCGCAGAGACGTGGGGGGGGGAAAGAGACACCAACACGACATTTCACCTGTCGTTCGCTTCGAAAATTAAGTTTTCATCCCGAGTTCATTTGTTAAATAAAATAGGAAAAAAAAACACTTCACACGGAAAACAGAATTATTTGAACGCCTGGATCTTCTGAAAAGAGGTCTCCTAAACGAGTGGCCCTGATCATATTTAAGCATGGTAAACACGTTTGCCTTAACTTGGCTGTTTCTCGAAGCTCAGTGTTTTTTTACATGCCTTTTTCAAGTGAAATGAGGCGATTGAATATATATAATAAACACTTAAAGAACTACAGCTGATCGAAATTTAAAATTTCTTATCTAAAGGCTGTGGAAACAAACTTATTAATGACTCTAAAAATATAGAAATCTAGAACGAAATTTTTTTAGAGTTGCTTAGCTTTTCATTTTTCCGGAATCGAAAGTCGAGATTGCAAAATTCAAGTGAAAAGCAAACCGACTGTGATTTATGCCTTAAACAAGTCAAGATACTTTTTTCCTTCATTCAACAAGTTACATATCGTAAATATCATTCTTCTTGATGCCTTTCCCGGTGTCACCGATGCCTTTCCCGATACCTCCATTGGTTAATATAACAGTGAAAATATTGTTCCAGTCAAAGCGTTTGGAAAATTGTTTAACTTTTGAATTAGCGAAGTATAACCTAGTAACATTTTGGCTTTACAATACGATTGTTTTTTGTAAGTTACAAAAAGTAAACATAATTCTTCTAGGTGCCTTTCCGAATGCCACCGATGCCTTTCCCGATACCTCCATTGTTTAATACAGCAGTAAAAGATATATGTGCCATCAACACTTTTGAAAAATTGCTTAACATTTTATTTAGCGAAGGATACTGTTAACATTTCGGCTTTACAACACTATTGTTTTCTGCAACTACAACTGATATGTCTCTATATGAATTATTAAATTTGTTTCCCCGCTGACCACTCGTATTTCGGTCATTTCTTTATCCCCCGCTCGTCGCCCGTGATGTAGTAATTCCCAACTGGAGAATTGAACGCAGCCTCGCCTCTGATCACCACCTGGAGAGGATTGGGAAGAGGTCCATTTCAATAAGCTTTCGTCAGAGTTATAGTGACGTTATCATTGAAATCGAGAGCGCAGTCACAAACTCAAACTTCTTTTGAAAAACTCTAAAGAATCACTATTTTGGTTTTTTTCATAAATAAATTTACTCAAATTGAAGTACGATATTTGGTTTAAGGGAATAGCCAGGATCTTCGAGTTACCCAATCGACATTGGTTTAGCTAGGTCTGTACCCTTATCGACAATGAAAATTGTCGTAACAGTGGTCAAAATGTTGTCGTTGATTGGATGTTGTAGTTGCCCTGCTTGCGATGCCCTGGGCTAAATATCAAACATATCAATGGCTGAGTTTTTCGATGATCTTTCAACAAACAGGGATGCTTTAAGTTTCGTTATTGATGTAAGAGGTACGAGCCAGTGTTGAACTTGGGAAACTTGTAGACAATGAGAACTGAGAGAGAAGCACAATGATTCTGACTTAGTCTGTAGCGTAAGTCAAAGTCCTCTTATTTCCTCTTTAAGTAATAAAATTTACTCCTTTGTTTTATTGCTAAATTGTTAAATAAATCAGCTTAACGGCTGAAGAATAATATGAAACTGTATAGTTTGAACTGGAGAGGAAGTAGCTGCTTTGAATGCTTCTTGAGTTCCTCTCAATTAATTTTACACCACTATCAGTTAATCCTCGTGATAAGTAACATAACTAAACGTTTTATTCTATGAATGATATTTACAGCATTTATACAAATAAGATTTCCTCGTCTACTGTTCACTGAATACTGTTCTTTTCGTTTGAAATGCTTCTTACAAAAACTAAAAATAGTACTTTCTTCATCTTCGTAGAGAAGCTTGCATAACATGACTGGCGAAGAAAAATGTATTGGATTCTAAATTTTGTTGGGGGCCGTTCCAATCGACTTTGTCTTTTTTGCATGGTTTGATTGGCTGGGAAAACTCCCGCCACTTTTCAACCAGTCAGATGCAAACTACACGCGATCGCAAATTGACCACTCACGTTTCCCTGCACGTGAAGCCATTTCAGTTGGTTTACTTTGATCATTGAATGGCTTCTTCTCATACTTTTCTTTGTTTTGGTTGCCCATTGTGACAACTTGGACAAAAATCAATTAAAAATCACTTTAACCACTAAAAACCGCTTCAATACATTGAGCCCAACTCGATGTTTGATGTTAACCCCCTCCATTTGGTATACAAAGTATTTTCCTTCATCGTGAAGATCTTTTCTCTCTTCTTCACTTCAGTGCTAGAATTCACCTTGGCTTTCTTCTTTTATACACTCTTTTAAGCTGTTTTAAGGGAGGTCTTGTTTGAGCCAGCCGTCGCTTCAGTGAAGTCTGTTGTTCCACAAGCTGTGCTACATGCCCTTGCTCAGCTAACATGGTCACAAATGTCCGAATAAAGGGATCGTAGTCGTGTGTACGCCGGCTGTGGTCCACCTGACACAAAGCACATGAAGGGTTTCAAATGTATTCACGTGACGAAAAAATGCTCAGACAGACGGGGGGTTGCAGGAGAGGAGGGTACTTGAGTCAGTTTTTGTTGGTATGTGCCAGACCCCATCTTGATCACCGTTTGGGCAATTGTATTTTTTTCGATCCCAACTTGATCACTTCCATTTAATGCATCTATCCTATAAAGCCTTTTTAGTAGGTCAAGTTATAAAATTGTACACGAAAATTCTGATGCCGGCATAAAGAACGTTAAACTAAAAGGTTCCCATTTTCAAATCCGAACTTATACCAGAATTTTCTTCCTTTCAAACTTCCGAAAATGTGCGACCCTATTCTAATAACTCCACCGAAAATGGAACCCTATGATAGTCAATCCAGAGGTAAAAATGCATATCCCTATTAGCCTATTACTAGGAAGTGCCCCAACCCCCCTCCTGGACTCGGAAATCCCAATCACATCCCACAGCTTGGAGTGTTGGTTTACAACCCGCAGCCCTCTTTACTGGAGATGAAAAAAGGCGTCAGCTTTCAACCTCGCAGAGCAGTAAAGATACGTTCAGGATTGATCTACAATAACGTGTTTTTTTTTTTACCTTACAAAAGCCATTGAAAAATGTCGTCAAAAGCAACAAAAAAATTCACTGAAACACAGGTCTTTTGAAATTATGAAGTGCATGACAACTCAGTCAGATATGAAGTTACATGAAGTACGAACCAAACAAGAATTGCCTTCAATCCTGGACATAATTTGAGCAAAATGACTCCGGAAATTGTTCATAAGCGTCGAAATCACGTGCTAATTTGACTGTCGATGTCATATAGAGGCTTTGGATGACAGGTGAAATACATCAAGATACTAGCATTCATGTGGTATCATTTGCAGCCAATGTTAGGTCTGTCACCAAGAAAACGCGCTGCGTGACGTGACCAAAGAACAACTGCGAAGGAGATTGGGATTCATTATACGGAGTTTTTTTTTTTTAAGTATTTGATAAGTGTAATCTTAAGGAGCAAATTATCACATGCAGTTAGCGCATAGGACGGAATTCTTACATAGTACTTCCTTCGTTTCTCCTTTTCTTCTCTCAGGGAATTCTCACATGCTTGGATTTGACGTTCAACGTGGTGAAGTTGAGTTACTAGAGCCTGCAGAGAACAAATTCCATATGTGATTCAGAGCAGTTTCCTAGTGTTAAAGGGTAACGCAGAAAAAGCGACAAAGAGTGACTCTTTAACGTTCTGCAGAACTGCTCGATCAAATAAGTGATAACACTGACTTAGTAAACACCCGGCCATACCTGGCTTTCTTCTGAAATCTTCGCCAACTCACTTAATGGGATAGAAAAGCCGTAACTATGTACTCCATCTTGGTTTATGGACTTTGAAGCTCCCTGAGAAACTAAGCAGCACACACATAAAAAAAATTGGTTAGTAGCAACCTACATATAGTTTACGTGACTAACGACGCTCTGACGAGGGGCTAAAGCTCCAAACGTCAGCTTTGCAACTCTTAACGGTGGCCAATTAACGTTTTCCACTCAGTTGATAAAACCAGATTATTTTGTTATACCCTCCACACAGACGCAGCACCACAGTTTCTCTAGAAACTTACAGTAGAAAGTCTCTTGTTTTTAAATTTCAAGTAACAATTTTTCCCTTCCTCCTCCCCCTTTGCATTCTTTTTGTTTTCACGCACGACGCGCGTGAATTCACAAGTTAGCCAATCACGTCAAAGACCTCTAGCCTTGACATCGGAAAACTGACGTGGACATTTTTCGCGTACTGTTCGTTTGTTTTCGCGGAGTTCTAGTTGTTTTTAAGCTTTCGATCACGTACATTTGTTACCCCTATGCTTGGACATTTAAGTACTTTCGGAGTTATTATTTTAGCCAATGTTGTGGTTCATTTAACAAGTTTAATACATATTTTCTACGGAGGTTGGACACAAGCCTCTTTTTTCGTAAACGAATTTTTTACATTTACCCCCTTTAAGGACTTTAAGTGCCAGTTGCAATTTCTTTCGCGCACGATCTGCACGCATATATCACGTAACGCATCACACTAAAGTAGTTCTCAGCCTACACGCTGGATTACTTTAAAATGATGTACTTTCTATAATAACTGATATATACAACTGTTTGAGTAAAAATTTTAAAGCGTTGATACAAATGAATTAAATGGTGTGAGTCGAGTGTGATAACTTTGATTCGTGAAAACTGATTGGTCCATTTTGCCATAATGTTATCGGAAGCGAGACTCAATCAACGTAGGTCCACCGTGATTGGTCAGTTTCCTTCCGTTAATAACGTTAGGTCATTTTGATTGGCTCGTTTGTTATGGTGCAGGTAGTTGTCGACATTTTCATACTAGGAGAGACTGATCTAAGCCGTAGTCACTAAACCAGCTTTCTAGAATGAAATGTTGATAGTACTTAGAGTTGTAGCTGAACAACGCGTAGAGTTCCAGTCAGTAGTGTGGTTCGTGAGTCACTCCGTCGACAAGCTGACAAGATAATATATGGAAAAAACCTTTTGGATTTGACGAAATGCCTTTCTCCCCATTATCATCGTCACTCGCCGAATCTTCTGCGCCCGCTCTATCGTCGTGACTGCTGGCCACAGTCTCGGAATCAGAGAATGAAAATGTCTCTACATAATCAGCCTGGTCTTCCGAGGGCGCAGTCTCCGTGGTTTCCTGTAAGAAAAAAAAAACAGTATAAAAATTATCCCGACTGCATCTAGATCACGTTAGTCGACGGGTTTACTCTCAAAGGTTAAAGAATGAGAACCTCTGAACGGCTTGAAGCATTTCACGTTAAAATGTAAATTTTGGTCAATTCAATTACAAGCAAAACAGAACACTGTAAGCAGTTAAAGTCAGAAGTGTAAAGCGCGGGAAAACGCGCGAGAGTCAGACACAAGTTGGTTTTATGTTAGCATCTGATAGTGCTAATTCTTCACCCAATAATTCTGCTTGGTATGCAAAACCAAAGGAATTATGGAATATGTTTGAAATTGCGCAAAAAAAGAATAACGAAACCGAAAAAAAAGCTGAATTTATTGCAAGAAGTTACTTATCAATATCACTTCTTACCCCAGTTTGCGAGGCTCCAGAGTCTGAATGGATACTCCCCGTTGGTGAAGCTGGGGGCTCTAACTCGGCGGAAATTACAGGATTTTTATCAACCTGTTTTTCAGAAGTGTCGTCAGGTTTCGCGCTGTCATTAGTCGCTGAGAATCGATTCCCCTTCTTCTCCTCTGCTTTTTCACTGACCCCTGTTCGGGTTTCAGACTTCCCTTTATCAGCCTCTTGTAGTTTTGAAGTCTCAGAGTCATTTGAAGTGTTGTTAGATGAGGTCTCCATGGTAACATTTGTGGTGATACCCCCTGACGTTGTCATGGCAACAGTCGGTGTAACAGTCACTACGGCAGCTGTAGTGGGCTGTGTATTGTCTTGGGTCGTGTTGTTTGCCGTGGAACCAGACTCGTTTGCTATTAGCGGCGCGGAGTCTTTCGTTGTAATAGGATCAAACTGCATCACAAAACAAGACCAAATGATCATTGACAACGTATTTTTCATAACGATTAGCAAACATTTTTTGATCTTAAGAAATAAATTTATGAAAATGGTGTTTTAGTGACAAGTTGACAGTCTACATGAGAGTAAACAAGTGACATCATTCAGTAAATTGCCAATTTTGTTTCGGAAGGAGATTTAATAAAAGAAAAAACGAGGCAATTTCGTTGCAAATTTTTTTTTGTAAGATTCAGGAAGTATTATTTTACAGTAAACAACTATATGAAAGTTGGGTAACACTTTCCAAATTTGCAAACGATTTTTAATGTGCAACAATACAAAATTGATACCTTCTTTAGTGACTCCAATATGCTTTCCCTTCAGAAACAAAAACAGAAAAAATAAAAGATTTTAGAATCCCTATTAATAATTAAAAAGAAACAAGAACACAATCTTATTTAAAATGGGTCTTAATGGAAATGTGGTATGATGAGAAGCAAGTCATTACACTGTAAGTGATCTTGATAAATATCGTGATTACACTGTACCTTTCAATACTCAAAGTTTTCAGTTTTTCCTCACATATAGTCATTCCATCAGCAACAACAGCCATCAGGTTGTACCTGATATCATGGTAAGGTTCACTGCGCAAAAAAAAAAACAAAAAAAACAAAAAAAAACCCTTTTTATTAAAAAGACATAAATAAATAGTTAAAAAAGCTTAAAAAAAAACTTGCCTGTTCAAAACCTCATTGGGCCTCCTCTTAGCTTTTCTTAGATTGCCCTACCTTTAAACCCATTTTTCTTGTCTTGAGATTGAAAACAAGCAAACTCTACTTTCAAATTCTACTTTATTCCAGATTTTTCCAGTATCTACTTACCCTCCAGTAGCTATTCCCAGCCTTTCAGTTATTACTCTGCGGAATTTTTCTGTCCATTCTTCATTCTCCCCCCAAGGACCTAGAAAAATCAACATGTGTTGCAAAAATTCTAAAACCCCTTGACCATGTGTTTCAGTGCAAACAAGTTCAAATGAGCCAGCCAGCCTGTCAGTCAATCAGGACATCAGTCTTGTACTAAGTCAATCAGTCTACCTGTTAGTTAGTCTGCAGGTCTGCCATTTAACCTGTCAGCAACTTAAAAGTCAGCCTGTTATACAGACAATTAGTCAGTCAGTCAGTCAGTCAGTCAATCAGGATGCAAGTTATCTACTAAGTTTGTAGTTCTGCCATTTAACACATCAGTAACTTTAAGTCACACTGTCACTAGCAATTGGTCAGTCAGCAAGTCATCCAGTATGGCAGACATCAGTCATTCATTCCATTCAGTCAGCCCAACAGTTAATTATTTAGTCCATCAGTTAATCAGTCTTTCATCAACCAGTCACCCACCCAGTAAATGAACCGTAAATTCAGTCAGTCAACCAGCCAGTTAAGGGAAAATATCACACAATTTACCAGGTATAAATCAATGTGTCTTACCATGATCAATTGGATATGGTTTAAGTCCATCCAGCTCAAACAGGCGGCCCTTGATGGGTACATAACTAACAAAGTGAAAAGCCTCCATAGCACGACCAGTTGACACAGCATTGGTTTTCTCAGGTAAAAGCTTTGGCTCAGGTCTGGGTTGAAAACACAATTAAAATGTTCATCAGGCCTTAGTCTTCTATCCACATAACACAAAAAGTTCTTTGGAATAAAAGGCAATTTATTAAATTATGAATAACCAATGATACTGAACTTTATTGGTGTCCCGTTCTTTCAAAGACTCTTGTGACCAGCTAATATGGTTACTGCCTCTATACTAAGTTAATGTAGTTTATTTTTTAAGTCAGAGATCACCTAAACTTTTAGACTAGTGCACAATTTGTTTCATGGAACTTTAACTTAGGGAAAATAAGCTTTACATTCACAAAATTCTTCAAGTTATGAGTCAAAGTCAAAGTCAAAGGCTGTATGTCACAGCCCATTCCCACAACACATACCATAGCCACAACATTGCATGTAACAATCATTTTAAGTGTTCCATCCTCAATACATACACAAGTAATTAACACTGACACAAAATTTAAAAAACCTAAACTTAAAGTTGAATGTAGTGTTTTGGAATTAACAGACTTGTGCATTTAGACTGACTGAAAATAATGTATAATTATAATACATGTACTGTATACATTACCTCTGGTTTAATAACTTACCTGGCAAACTTGTTATGTGCCATAGCCAGTTCTGGCAAGTTACCAATCACATATCCCTTGTTCTGGAAAAAAAAAAAAAAACTAAACAAAAAACCCTGATGCAATTGAATCTCTATTAAAGAGTTATCGAACTGTACTATCAAACAGGATGACATCCCTCTGACTAACCAAGTTTGAGGTCTGTTCTGTATCAGTAACAGATCAAGTTTTTTTGCTTGGATTTTTGGCCCAAGCGCAAAGTGTGGAAGAAAAGGAAAAAGGTTGTGAAACTTACAATATGGACCAAGAAAATGAGGTTAGTAAGATATTTAGTGTATCTCTTGGTTCAAACAAAGGGAGGAGGGAGGGAGAAATTAAATTAAAAAACACATTTCTTGTGTTGTACAGTAAAATATAACCTGCTAAATTAACCAATCATAGTGCATGTATTATCTGAGAGATATAATAAACTAAGATATTCCCCTGTTTAAGCTAGAACATGAGAACTTTCAACTCCCATATGAGCTAAAAATTACGATTGGTTTACACTCAAAGAGTATTCAATACTTACCTCTGGGTCAAATTTATTAGAAAACTCCTTCAGCCTGCTGAGAGTTTCACCCAAGTGAATATGAGTACAGTTGAGGAGGACACTCAGTAATGAGTGAGTAGCACATGAGTTTGGGATGACCTGGTAAAGAAAGAAGAAGTTAAAGCACAGTCACATTAACTCTTTAACACCCAAGATCTCATAAGTAATTCTCCTTACTGTCTGCCAAATGTTTCTCATTATGTTAGTTTGGAGAATTTGGTATCGGATCAAGTCGTAATCCCATAATTGATATTTCTCTTTATTCTCATCACTTGTTTGCACGATATTGTATAGATAAAGTGAGGAGAAATTCTGTCTTGGTCACCACTCATGGGAGTTAAAGGGTTAACCTTGATGAGAATACTCAAACACACAAAAGAAAGAATTAACAATCGGATCTTGGGAGTTAAAGGTTTAAAATTTTGCTTAATACCTGCTGAGCAAAAAATATATCTCGGATGGTCTCCTCATCCTCCACAAACATCTCCTCTAAGGGTTGAATTTTACGCCTTGATCTCCTCTCTTCGATCCACTTAAAAAGGAAAATGAATCCATAGACAGGCCTGGAACAGAAAGAACTAGCATTTAACTTATTTGAATCACACAGTATTCTCATCTGTTTGAGCTCCTGACTGCTCAAAACCAAAAACATTTGATGGCATTCTTCGATACACAGAAGCCTATCAAGTTAGCCTTGGCTGGGGTGACTGTGTTGAGCCATTAGACAATACTTCATTTTACAATTGCATGCTTGGTTACTGAGCCAGGAGTAAGGCTAAGGGGGATATTGTTATGACACAGATATTGCTACTTTTCAAATGTTAATTAATTTGTTATCATGCTTAATAAATACTAGTCTCTATCACAACAAGGTCATCTTCCCTCCTCACTCCAAATCAAAGGCTTGGCAACTAAGTACATAATTGCAAATTAGTCTATTTTTCACCCTCACAGAGTTAAGAGTTAAGCAAACTCTACGAAACCTGGCAAAATACAGGGAGGCTGCTAACCATCAGACCCTGAGAACCTACCAAAATACTGAGCTTAAGAAATAGTAACATCTTATCTAGTGGGAGCAGCCTCCAGCTGTCTCATGCATCTGGGCCAGCTACATGTTGCTTGTGTGTACACTATGTGAGGTTTTTTTTTTTTTTTTTTTTTGAAAAAAAATGTATTAGTAAAAAACAACAAAAACAAAACATTCCTTGTACTGACCCTCTAAATGGCTTAGACAAATCATAAATCTCTTCCACCTGAGCTCCCTTGACACCTGAAAAAAAGCCAAATATTAATAATTACTATCAATGAACACAACACCACAGATTCTGCACATGATGTATTTCAAAGCAAAGACTTCTTCTTTTTAGCCATAAATATTTTATACATAAGTGCGTAAAAAAAGAAAAAAAAATGAGCAAAATTTTTTATAGGCACTTGCACTCTAGCAAAGCAAGTACCAATTGATTGATTCCGGTTTATATCCCCTTCTTTGTTTCGTTAGGTGACAGAAATTTTACTGCAGAGCACGATTTGATTGATCGACGGGTGAAATTAAATTAAGAGAGCCTGAGATATATTTGATTTGGCTAAACTACAGTTTACAAGGTCACTTTAAACCATCCTCCAGATGAGCCATATGAACCACTAAATATATAGACCTAAGAATTAACTCGCATATAGATTATGCTCTTTCTTTCATTCACTGCGGAGCAAGACAAGCCATTGACTGAAAGCGTATATTCAGTATACGATTCTCGTTCTTTTATCCACTGCGGTCAGCCAAACGAGCAACTAAATTTATGCTCCTTATGGCCCTGTATTATGAAGTTGCTCCATTGCTTTGACTGAGGTACAACGCGTTTTACATTTCATCGGAAGAAAAAACTCTCCGACGTAAGCTTTCAAATTCCACTGCGGCCGTTGAAGCAGCTAATGTAACAATGCTTCCGTGTTAATTCCAAGCGAGCAGAGCTGAGCACAATCGATATTTGTAAATCTTGGATTCAACGGTGCAATTAACTACTTAAAAGGATCCCTGCATCAAGGGTCGCTAAAAATAGCGCTTTCACAAATGCACTTATTTATCAACGGTTAAAAGATAAGTTTTAACTTTTTTAAATCTTACCAAACTCCTCGATCAGCAAACTGAAGAGTCCTAAACAAAGCGAAGGTAGAGGTAAATTTCAGTAACTTTTTGTCCATTATACTACAGCTATTTATAGTTATGTTACAAATTACGAATAAAATCTATAAACGGAAATAAACGAATATTAAACCTGGGTCGCTCTCAAGTTCCAACCATCCACTGTTTACCGCCATATTTGAAACATCATTACAGTAAAGTCAGCGGACTGTTACATTTGAGAATAATTGTTCGTGTAATGCTGCTGGAAAGCGATGGCGCTTGCACGGGGTACCAAGTTCACCTTGTTGTGGATCGCGCCGTTTATTTGACCAAGAGTGCAGTTTTCTGTCCTCGTGGCACTATGTCCTGACGACATATTCTGGCGACTTATTTCACTATCCAGAGGTACAACATTAAAAACAGCGGCATACTAGGGCGCCCCAACACTTTAGAAATGATCGAGCACCCCTCCCCACTCAGGCGTGTGCCTGTCGTTTCTCAGTGTCCCCTTTTTGGAGCGTTTCGACTGAGTAGGAATCTGGCATGGGCTAGTAGGCAGATTTCATAATCAATAACAAGAATGCTGGTATAGGCAGCTTTTTTACTGTGCCAAACTATCAAACGCCTCAATGTACTAAATTCAAATTTTCAGGCCGCTTGATAAATGCAGGAGTTCATTACTGACAATTGGCCTCTGATAAATTCTAACTGAGGGACCAGTCTATTTATCACCCGGTAGGAGGGGGGGGGGGGCAGAATAATTTTGTGCGGGAACAGAGGGGGAATCAGTCGTAGTCGACAGAGTATAAAAAGGGGGGGGGGAATATGAGTGCCAATTAACTGTTAATGAAGGGGGGATCATCAGAATATAAGAAATCCTTATGGGGAGGATCAGGATCAGATATTTCAATCGTGACATCCCCCCCCCCGGCAGTGCACAATAACCGGTCACGGAAACAATGCAATTTGCATGGAAATCGAGAAACGTCCAATTTCAGAAAGAGTGCACAGATTGGATCGAGTGTTAAAATTCAATCCAACGATTAGTGTACGGTTCGATGAGCAACAACAAACATTAAGGTTAGGGTCGAGGGGAAAATAATTCACAAGCCCACGTGTGCTTGGTATGGAACTATCATCAGTCTATTGTCAAAGTACTTGATTAAACTTTATGCAAGATTTTCCTTCCGCGCAAAAAGATCTATACATGTTTATCATTTTAATTCGTAGCCATTTTAATTATTATGCAAAAATGGAAACTGTTTAAAACAAGTCACGCAAGCAACATATCATAAACACGCAATTAGAAAGGTTGCATCAAATGAATAACTCCTTACTAAAATGAAATCCTCACCTTGATCGCGCCCGTACACGATTTCGGAGATGGGCACATCGCCCGTCACATCGTCACCGTAGCTCAGAAGAAAATTAAGAGTTTGATCCAATTACGGGATACATATTTATAAATTGACTTTTTGTCGACAAAAGCTGTTTATTCATAATCATGAGCGCATGTTTATTCTTGTTTGATAAGCAGTATATTACCTCGTCATCACATCATCTAACTGAATTCGTGCGCTGCTTGTTCAGATCTAAAGTTTGTTTTTGATACCAGTGATCGAGTAAAAGGTGCCCTCACAACACTGACAAAAAACTTAGAGATGAAAGTCCTCGCAGTTCTACTGTTTCTCTCCGTAACTCTTTGTTTCACAACAAGCGCATCAGGTATAGCTGACAGACTTTGGTGGAAAAAGGTTCAGATGTTTTTGCTACCCTTAGAGACTTTTGTTGACGATGACCATGAGAGCTCATTCGTGTAAACGGTGGCTCGAAAGTCTTCGCTGTTCTGAAATTACTTAACGTTAGCGATGAATTGTTGTTGTTGCTCTTTTTTAAGGTTTAGAGTTTTAAGATTTCTAAGACAGCAACTGACTTGATGAAATCAACCAGAGGGTGTCGCGTGTCGTTCGCTTTTCCTTACTTTTGAAATTGTTTACCTGGATAACCTTAGTTTGCTGAGGTGCCCAAAATTACTCATTTAAGTCGCTATAAAAGGAATTAAGTTGCTTTCAGCCAATCTTGAATCATTTAATATTTTTATATCTAGCTTTGCCAAGGAGTTCCAAACGAGATCCTCGTGGGATACTGGAAAACATCGAAAATGCGTTTGGTAAGTTTAACAAGAAACTAGGGTCATGATAACTTAGGAAGTTCAACACGTTTTCGCTGTTTTCAGTTCTTAACTTCGAGTTGGTTTGAGAAGCAACCTTTTTCGGGAGCAAAATTAGCTGCACGCATGTTCGCAGGCATTATAAACGGAATAAATGTTTTTTCATGCGATTTTTCAATCGTTTTATTCTACATTTTCGTTTGCGATTTTATAGCCTAAGAGTACCCACCCCCACCCCCCCACCGGAAAAAAACGGGGGGGGGGTACGTCGCCCGAGGTAATTGTTATTTTGTCAAGCATTTTTTTCACGAGCCTCTTGCAGGAAAGACTGGTCAACCCCCCCTTCCACCCCCCTCCTCTCTCCGACGTCTCGCCTCGTTATCATCCGTTATCATTTATATGTAGTTAAATTACACGTTTTTGATTCATTCCCAGGCAACCCGTGCCCCAATGGTTGGACACGCTTTAACAACTACTGTTATCTGGTGAGCACTACCTCTACTTATTCTTGGTCCCAAGCTCAAGCGCATTGTCGCTCGCTAAGTGCAGATCTGGTCAAGATAAACAGTGCTGAAGAAAACGAGTTTGTCTTGAGTCTCGTCAGGAAATTGGCTCCGTCTCTGAAGCAAATCTGGATCGGATTGAAGTGGAATACAAACGGATTTTACTGGATTGATCTTTCAGTTCCGGTTTACAAGAATTGGGCCCCTCAGCATCCGAATGGCAACGCAAACGAACCATGCGTTCAAATGTGGATCAATAATGGACAACATCTGCCCAAGTACGCATCAGGCTACTGGAATGATATAGATTGTCATTACCGGTCAGATTTCCCAAACGGAATTGTCTGCAAGAAACTGCCTTAAATGACAATTTATCCTGTTAACAAAGTCTTTAGACTGTGTGACTGGTTGATTGAGTATAAGTGATTGGGTGACCGAGTGACTGACTGACTTACTGACTGACTGGCTACCTGACTAACTGACTGGCTGACTAGCTGACTTACTTACTGGCTGCCTGACTGATTTACTTACTAACTGACTTATCACGACTAGTTGACTTCAGTACTAGAATGATCTAATGACGCCAAGACTGTATTACCTATTAACACTGAAGCACTGAGTGACGAGCACAACTGACTCACTGACTGCATGACTGCCTGATTGAAAAAAGTTCTCATTAACAATTTGAGTATTTAGTAGTCTTACGCCTTTCAAGTGGAAAATAAATGACAGCCTGAACGTATCAATTAGATTTATCATTGTGCACGTGGGTATCACTTATACAGCTTGTTCGTGTCTTAAAAATTTGCCAGTTTTACGATCAGCGATTGATAGTTCGAACAAAATTAATTTCTCGAAACATCAACGAGGACCTCAGATGGCTCCATAAAGTTTTAGCCAGATTATGACGCGTGCGCAAGTGTGAAATTAAATTTGTCCTGCCGATCATTTTGAAGTCGAAAAAGGGGTTACAAAGGCAGTTCTTCGCCTTTTCTAAATTGTTCTTTTCTGCATCTAACTTATTATTATTATTAATTTTTGATTATTGACAATAGGAACGGCGAATAGAATAGAACTTCGCCAAAGCTTCGCCAAGATCAATATCTGAGCATGCGTAAACTTTTGAAACTCGCGAGTGCCAAAAAACCCTTTGGAGACTCTTTAAATATACAATAAAGGGGGGTAAGTTTCTAAAGAAACTGCGGTGCTGCGTCGGTGGGAGAGTCTAACAGGGTAATTTAGTACTATCAACTGAGTTGAAAACGTGAATTGGCCACCGTAAAGAGTTTCAAAGCCTAAATTTCGAGCGTTAGCCCTTCGTCAGAGCGAATGATGAAGGGCTAACGCTCGAAACGTCAGCTTTGAAACTCTTTCTGGTGTCCAATTTACGTTATCAACTCAGTTGTTAAGAGAAAATTACCCTATCTTTTAATATCCGTACAGTCTTGCAATTTTCGTATCAGTTCGTGCGCATTCCTTTATTATCGACGGTTCTTTAAGATTCGGTTGAAGTCCATTTTTTAAGTATTTGAAAAAAAGTAGGTAAAAGACCTTAGCTAAAAGAGCTTGCAGGCATACAACATTGCGTTCGCACAGAGCAAGATTTACCACAATTTTGCGTTCGAAGGCCTTCTATTTCAAGTTGGATACACAGTCAGCTAAGAATCCCTTATAGGAAACAGAGCATAACAGCTCTTAGCTTCGTCATTCAATAGTTCAATGCATGGGAAGCAGTTTGAAGAAAGCCGCTCTTTAAATGTACTGAAACAAAAGTGTAACTTAATTGTATAATCTCTTTAATTTAAATCTTACTTACTGAGTAGCTGGCTTTACGTTGAGAGTTTTCAGCAACAAAGCCACGAGAGGAATCAGAAAAAAAAGAGATAGTTTTGAGGCTCCGTTACTTTTGCTTTCATGAAGCGCACGAAAAACCACTGGCGATAAGATTTCTTACCGCCTCTTGTGCTAGCTTTGAGTAAAGTTAGGAGCTTTGTTTTGTGACCGTTTTCCACTTTCATTTTGCCTCATTCAGTCTTTTGCAAGTGGCCCGTTTTTCTGATTTCACGTTAAATCAGCAACAACGTCCACTTCGCAAAGTCTCGTTTCGAGCGCGAGTAAGTGGTTTACTAGATTTCCAAGTGTTCCCATCATTGGAACTTTTGACTGTTTTAATAGATTTGAGCACAGTACAAATACCTCAATGAAATAAATGGTTCGTTTTCAATTAGTCGTATTTTCACTTCCTTGTGGGAAGTTAAACAGGCTGAATCTTAAAAGAATGGAGATTCACATCAGTATTGGCCTGCAGAGCAGCCTTAATGAGCAAGTGCTCAGTATTCTTTAGCTGAAAATTTGATTTTGCAATAGTGTAAGGCTAACAAGAGAAAGTAGTCTGTTCTTAAGGGGTAAGCAGTGTTCAAAAGGAAGGAGAGGGGAGGGGTGCTGGAGCTCATCTATTCCTGCCCCCTCCCCACTGTCCACTTTAACTTTATATCAAACATGGCCATTTGGATGAGCAATTGTGAGATTGTAACACCTGCCCTTATAGGACACCTGTAATGCAAGCTTCATCAGTGTAAGCCTCAGTCAACAAGATGTCGTCCTTTTATATCTCCACATGTATAGAGACATTTCAATTGTTTCCTCTTTAAGGGAGAACTGCATACTTTACTAATGAAAACTTATTGAAGTGACACTATCTGGTATCATCGTTGACTTAAATAAATAAATATAACTCATATCTAGATATGAATAAGCCAGATAGAATCTGTCAATCTCAAAACAGCAACAATAACTTGCCAACTTAGAACTTGGTTTTCGAAGAGAGCACATGGACTGCTCCTTGTGGAGGAGACTACTATATCTTCACTTGCCAAACTTGGATAGCTGCGCAGCTTTTATTATTGGTTGAAGCAGTGGAGAGGCAACATCTGCAAGAAATTATATTCAATAAGAATTGTATTGTTTTTTAAATTTTAGATTTTTTTAAATTTTAGCTTAATATCTTTGACTTATAGACCACATTATACTTATAATAACTACCATGCCATTTCACCATACTATGGCAACCAAATGCTCAAAATATGTAGCAGTATTAGGATGTGGAAGAAGGCAAAAATACAGATGAAAAGTGGAGCAACAAAATCAAATAATAGGAGAACGATAAATCTCGTATTTTATGGTTAAACACATAATACATTAGGATGAGGGAAAGTGGGGCAACTAAATGAAATAATAGTGGAATTATAATCCCACTATTCAATTATGGTTTAACATGTAAAACAAGTGGACAATTTGCTTGTTGCTTGAATTTTTCCTTAACCTTAAAGAGCTGATGAAAATACCATGCAACTCCCAAAAATATCCATGCATATTACCATGTCAAGCCATCAGATAAGGTGTATCTATTGACTAAGACTCTGATCAGTGTCTAGGCAATGTTTAGTTTTGTGGATGAAGGAAGGTGGTAAATCCTAGGATAAAATTCTCAGAGTAAGGATGAGAAGCAACATCAAACTCAACCCTTACGTGGCCCAAGTCCAGTTATCAAAATCAAAGCCACAGCAGTGGGAGTTGAAAATTCTCACCACTGTGCTATCCTCATCTTCCTGTGACAAGTCTGCTTGGTTGTAAAAATGTTAGTTATTGTGTCTGACAGAATAGTCCATTTTACAGTTGTGTGCTTGGTTGCCAAGCATTTGAACAGGAGTGAGCTAAGGGTGACCTTGTTATGATACAAACCTTGCTGCTTTTCATCTGTAAATTACTTTGTTATCATGCTAACTAGACACTGGTCTCCATTACAACAAGGTCACCTTCAGCCTCACTCCAAATTAAATGCTTGGTGACTCAGTACACAACTGTAAAATGGCATTTTCTTTTCCAGGACTACTCTTACCTGGACAGTCAGACATAATTTAAAAAATAATGGTAATAATAATCATTATCATAATATTAATAATAGAAATTAAAACATTAAATGATCATTTATCACTTACATGAGTCACAGCCATAGCACCACACACTCACATCACTGAAACTCAAAACCACTGGGTGTCCTGATTCAGAATTGTGATCCACCATGTGACAGTTGACATAACGACTGCAGAAGACAGAGGAGCATACAAGACATAACCAGTTCTCGCCAACATTACTGCATGTCCCACACGGCTTGGACAAGTCAACTTGGAGTGATGATACACTTGTTAATGACTATAAGAGAAAGACAAACAATTCAAATGTCAATTTAATGTGCTAGTATCAAGAAGTGAGTTTTGCTGAGGAAACTTTGTTATCCTTGCATTGGCGAACAGTCAAATGTTATTTAGCCAGACCTTAGCCTGTTCCTAAGATATGAAACAACCACCAGTAAATTTTTGACTCTCCCAACATGTTATCCTACCCCCCTGCGTCACTCACTTCCCAGCCAGAAATTCACTAGCCTTCCCTGACAGTTCACCAATACCTTCATGTACTCCTCAGTCAGGGGTTTCAATATGTTTCTAAATAGGCATCATACTCTCCAAAAGTAGGTGACTATAAAAATGGTCATTTAGACCAGAGGAATCCCCAACATGTTATCAAGTAGCTGGCAGAACTTTGGCAGTCGCTGGCTCATTGCACTTTTTTCCTGTGTGAAAAGATGCCACTTGCCACTCATGAAAATGATGTTGCACTCAGAAATAATGCAATGTAGGAGTGACCCCCAGAATATTCAGTCATGATCATGATCTGCTCAGAGGCAACCACTGGGGCACACTGACTTCCAAGATTGACTGAAGGCTCTTGACCACTAGTCTTAGCCAATGTGAAGAAAGACAGAGACTTAAAATAAATTAAATTATTGATTGTTTGAGTTAAACAGCTGGACAAAATGCAAAATGTCAAATCTTAACAACTGACTGCGTTAGATCAGAGGAATATTTGTTGAACGTAAAGTCCCATAAGCTATATTTGAATATTTTTAGAGGGCAGATTTTGCCATGAGCTTAATCGGTTCTCCGTATCATCTCTGTTCCATCGATCCTCCCATTAAGACCAAACGACAGATTTACCCTGTTCACAAACACGAACAGTAAACTGCGATAATCGAACTTACTCTATGAATATGTTTGGCATGCATATTCTCGAGCAAGGGCGAGCGTTTCCGCTCGTTGAGACACGTTAATTTTTCACCAAACCGAACAAATAGAGATCGACGACTTAAAGCGCGCGGTTCTAACTCTGTCAACCCTGAAGATTTCTGTGATCAGATCTTCGAAGCGCTTAACAAATATATAACGCTTTCAGTTCAAACCTGAACGTGCGGGCAGTCTCTCTTCGGTTCAACAGCAACGAATCCTGCTGCGTCTAACCCTCCTGTAGCCATGATCTTCGACCGGCTATATTAACTAAGTGCCAAAATTTTTGGAAACCGCACCTGAATCCGTGCTTTCTTCCTCAGGAGCCTGGGTAGAGCAGGTGAAAATTTCAGCCTCTGTATTTTCCTTACCCCAGACAAACAGATTACAGTTTTGATTTTCTTGGTTGTGCTTCCGATGCACTTTGTCAAAATTGACTGGCAAATTTTGTGTAAATAACACAGAACGGGTCTTATAGATGATATTCACTGCTGACCAAATGTCTTTTGATACTGGAACGAGTCTCTGTCAAACAAGGCCGATATCACTGGGTACAAGAGTTAGTAGAAAGATGGCGGCCTTCCTTTAGGTAATTGAAATTTTGTGAAAAGGTTACTCTTGCCTGCTGACAGAATGGTCCGAATGAAAGTGATAAAATGTCCATCGGACAAATTGTCTTTAACAAATTGTCTTGTGGTGAACGAGAATGACTTCAGTCGCGACAGAGTCAAGTAAGTGTCGAGTTTGTGATTCTTGTGACGTGTAGTTTCTTCATGCGTGCCTGTATGATTTCTTTTGCCGATGTCAGCTAATATTTGTTTTCAAAAGGGAAAGATTTCGTAAAGATGGGGAATGCTCTGATTTCTATATAGTTTAAAGACAATAACATTTGAAATTACTAATGCTGGCTAAGATTAAATCTTCCTTAAAATTTTTTCTTCAAAACGAAAGTCGAAAGTGCGAGTAGAAACTAAGCGCGGAAATGTTATGTCCGCGAGATAGTACTAGTGTTAGCTTGGGATGTTCTGTAGTGATTAAATCGATATATTTTTACATTACGGTAGCCTTTTCCAGGAGGATCGAGTTTACAAAATTAATCTATTTAAGAAACATGTCACAATGTCTCAAGCTTGGGTCAAAGAAAAAAAATCTAAGTCTTCCCGGAGGAATGAAGTTAGAGACCTTCTGATGAGGATAGTAGACAAAGTCAATTTGATGGTTGTAGAAAGTAAAAACTTCTCAATTATTCTTCACTACTCTATATTGAAATGACTGATGTTGTCTAAAGTCACTTTCTACATGTATCAGATCAACTATTTCAATGTATTGAATTGACTTTGTTGTTGTTGTATTAAATTGACTTAAATATGTTTTGAATTGACTTGTATAGAAACAACTTTGAATCAAAACAACCATAGATCCCTCCCTGATATCACAATTGAATGCTCGATGGACTGATACTGAAAACTCTTTGGTGTGCTGTGGGAAAGATCTCCACATAACCCTACTGTATTCTAAAATAAAACCTCAGTCCTAAAGATAAAGTGCTGTATTCAACATTGATTTCCTCTGTCAAATAACTGTAAGCACAATTTGATGTATAGGGCTATATGGAAATCTTGGTGAGTTGTGCGTTATCACTGTACTCCAAAATCAGTTTATATATAACTTCCCTCTAGGATTTACATGTAATCCAGTCATTTCAATTTATTTTTATTGTTTGAAATGGATCTTTTTTTTCTTTTTTGTCAGACATGTTGAGGTTCGACCAATGCTCCACAAGGCTACATCTTTACCATAGAAGTATCACAGGATGTTCCACAAGGTTCTGTAGGATTCAGTCTTGTCCAGGTAAATTAATAATATAATAATAATAATAATAATAATAATAATATACAGTATTTATAGAGAGCTAATTCCCAATGGTCCAAAAGCGCTTTACATAATAAAAATAACAAAATCCTAAACCTACAAAACTACATTGTCATTCTATAAAAATTCTCAATGGTCCGAAAGCGCTTTACATAATAAAAATAAGAACAAAATCCTAAACCTACAACACTACAAAACTACATTGTCATCCTATAAAAACATCATTCTATACAACATCATAACCAATTTTAAAAAGCCACATCTTGAGCTTAGATTTAAAAGAAGAAAGGGAATTACAAGATCTAAGTTCGAATGGAAGTGCATTCCAAACAGAAGGTGTGGCAATAGTCAAAGACCGGTCACCATAAGTTTTAAGATTAAATTTAGATGTAGAAAGTAAAAATTGATTGGAGGATCTAAGAAGTCTACCAGGTGTATAAGGCTTGATGAGATCAGCGATATAGCTAGGTGCAGCACCACGAAGCGCCTTAAATGTAATTACTGCAATTACTGCAAATTACCTCACGAACATCTCTCAAGATGTACATTCAAACTCACCTTGCTGTTTGCTATATGTGTTCTTAGGATCTTATCCCTGAGAATCATCTGTAAATGAAACATTATCATCTTGTCAGTATTCCTCTTACTTCTCATTACCTTTCTAAGGGAAAATTCTCTGTGTTTGCTCCGAGAAATTCCCCTTTGGTCAATCCTAAAAATGAAAGGGTTAAAAATTCAAACTAATTTTGAAAGAAATGGTTTTAAATGTCTCTCAGAGAGAGTTCAATACTAACAGTGTTGTATTTGTTTCATTTTTTCTGGTGGATTTGTCATTTTTGACATCTTTCAATCACTGGGAAAAAAAATTCAATTTGATTTTTGTTTGCTTATCATATGATGCATTTAGAATAATATTATTTCTTCCATCAGCTGAAGGACAAAGTTGATTTTATTTTGAGATTTGTGACTTTGAATTTTACTTTACTACAATTTCAGAGAAAGTGGACCAATGTAGCACTTAACAGTATAATAGATGGTAAGATATCACTGAGACATCCTCTCACTACTTCACAGTTGTCATTAGAAGCTGGTAGCCAGATACTTTTTGAGTTGTGATCAAAGACAGAAAAAATATTTTTAAGCTGATTCTGACATTAATGTCTGGCTAGAAAAATTTACTCAAATAATTATTTCCTGCAATGCTTTAAATCATATCTCAGAGAGTTTTGAATTTGAAATGTTTCCAGGGGAGTTGTAATCCCCAGAGCCCCTTGAAGGACTTGTTGCTTTGCAACATGCCATGCTTGTTACCTAAGCATAATTTCATTTCAGCTGTGTACTAAGTTCAGATTATACATCTTCTAATGACAACCCTGCTGCCTCATCTGTAATATAATTATTTACTTACATGTAGATTTGCATCCCACTGAATTTTCTAAAATGGAGGCACACAGGGATATTACAAAGATTTCGAATATTTTCGAAACAGGATATTTTTTCGACTGGAGCAGAAGTAAAGAACTTTCAAATACTTACTCTTATATTCAATCTTTGCCTTAAATTGATGTATGGAGTACTAAAGGAAAATCATCAGATCTGTGAGAAGTGATCTAGAGAGTGGAATTTTTACAAACTCAAGCCTCTGATTTTAAAACCTGTTTCACTACATTACATCACTAGGGTTGAAAGATGAAAATGTATTTATTTTAGTCTGTTAATATCTTTTCTAGTCGTTCCATACAGATTTGGTGAAGGATCATACCTGTCAAATATTACTTTTGAAGCAGATTTTCTTCAGAAGGCCAAGTAAATATTCCTGTTAACTATGATTATTACATCAAGAACATTATGTACATCCATGTCAATTATTCTACTTGTTTTTCATGCGAAGGATATTAAATATCTCTTACTTTAACTAATTGCAAGGTGAGTACTGTTAGTTAAGAACCAATTTTTTTTGCTCTGATTTATGGCCCAAGTGCAAAGCATGTGGGCTTTAAATGGGAGTGAAAACATACAAGGTTCTGTGACATACTGTATGGACCGAGAAAACCAGATTAGTGAGATATTTCTTGTATCTCTGGGTTCAAATACAGCAGGAAGATTTCAGTTCAACAAAATTTTCAATTTAGTAAGCTGTGCAGTGAAATATGACCTGCACCTAGTGGGGTTTGAAGATAAGTAGAGGGAATTCTTCTTGAACCCTTCTTATCCCCTTAGAGTGACTGGTATCTGATTTCTCCTTTTTATATCACCCCTGAAGCAAACATTATGGTCAGGAGAATAAAGGAATTGATCACCTACTGAAGTTCCTCTTGATTGTTAAACAAATTCTCCTTGTCAGCACCTTAGGAAATGTTTAGAGAACAGTATGGAGAATATGCATACTGATGTTTGGGTAGAAAAGGTTAAGTTAGATAACAAAGCAGTAGCATGGCTTGAATTGCTTGTGGAACTGCTTGTGTCTCATGAGCCCAGACACCATGCTAGATTGAATGCACCTGTTAAACTAAACTGTCGTGTTATACTGTTGTTACAGACTTGTAACATGTACATGTTTTGCAGTGTTTTCATCTTGGTCTTCTTTGTGGCCCAGGATAGCTGACTTGTGCAAATATTAAAATTTATCCAGCGATAATATCTTTTGTTCTACATTAACCTTTTAAATCCCAGAAATAACCACCATGTATTTTCTCCCTAAAATATGTTATCCAGCAAACATGTTATAATGCGAATGATCAAAATTATGAGGTGGAAGCTTTTATTGTAATAACAGGATGGAAAATGTGGTGAAACAATTGTTTCATCCGTCAGCAGTACATTGTGGATTGTATTAATATTTATTAATACAATCCATATGTCATAAATGGAAATGATTAACAGGCACCCCTGCCATTTCCATATCCCATATCATTTCTAGTATGGATTTTTGTTAAAAACTTCTCTCTCCCATAGAGAAGACAATGGAAAGGCAATACATGGCAATATGTGGGTTTCATATGGCCATATCAATGCTATATAAAACCCAGATATGGCCCATAGATTATCCCATATCACATTCATACATGGTCCACACCTGTCCCATATCACCTGGTTTTTAAGGGATGAAGCACTTGAAAAGTTTGGAGAGCTCTTAAGAAGCTATTGATAGCTGCTCTGTAACCTAGCTTTGGAGTATTTCAAGTTTTCTGTAAGCTTCCTGACTTGATGAAGGCTTCCTGACACAAAAACTTGTAATTGTTAACCCTCAAACTCCCAAGATCTGATTGTTAATTCTCCCCTCTACACATTTCCTTGTGAATTAATGGTGAAAATTTGGTGCTTTGTGTAGTTCAAGATAACAAATTGAATATTCTCATTACCTGTTTACTGGATGGTGTATGGATGTTATAGGGAGAAGTTACATCTTAATCACCTCTGGAGGTTGAAAGGTTCAATGTTGTTCATCTTTTCTTACACTAGGGGTAACCAAGATGCCTATGATACGAACAAGATGGCAGAGGAATTTACACACTTCTTTCATGACCGGGCTTTTTCTGTTGGTCAGCAGGTAAATGGCATTTAGTCTGAGGCTGTGATTTAATAGTTTAATGAAGCACACAGTAAATATTACAAGGATTTCAAAACAAGCCAGTAACTAACTGCAGAGTTTTGTCCTGAAGCTACTTGATAACATCTTGCCATTTACTCTGCTCAAAATAATTACCTTTTGGCCCCTGAAAAACGTTTGACAGTCACCAAATTTTGCTAAGTCTGATGCCTACTTTAAATACTTTGATACCCCTGAATTCCTTTTTATAATTATTTACTAGTTAACCAGTCAGTATGTGAAAATAATATTCTGTGTATAAACTAAGTATAATACCACAGGGGTCAAAAGTGTTATGGGCGACTGGTCAGAAAGTAGTAAGTAAGTATTATTCACCATCAAGCCACAAAGGGGATAAAATTGCATGTCAAGAGTTAAATCTCTGACCATTTGGCTGTTTATTGACAGAAATAACCTAATTTTATTGGTTTCTGTGTGGTATATGCTTAGACGTGTGTTAACCTCTGTCAATGTTAGTGATAGTGGTTGTTATTTACCTTCAAAAACTGATGTTTGGCAGCTCACATTACCTCAGCTCTGATGAAAAATTATCAATTATTTTAGTTCTGTTCTTGTGTTTCTTTTATTGTTAATTTTGATTGTGACAATTGTTTACTGATGACAATTTTTATGATAAAACAGGCTGTATTTTCTTTTCAAGACAAGAAATACCTCATTCTTTTTGTAAAAAGTATGGAAGGTGAGTGGAATTATCTATGATTGGTCATATTCATCAGTCTGTATTTTTCTTTCTAATTCATTTTATCCCTCAGAGGAATGTTGGTGATACTGAAGATCACATAATACTCCAGCTTCCACCAGAATTCATTGGTTAAAGTGTAATAGCTCTTTGTCTTACTTACATGGAGAATATTCTCTGTTACTTTACACTTATCTCCTGCAACAAGATTTCTTGGTGAAACTTAGTTTTCATCCTAAGAGATCTAGGAGAAATAAATGGATGAGAGGAAATTAAATTTTCTGATTCACTTCAGCTTGGAAAGTTTATTTCTTCTCCTTGTTATGAGGAGAAGAAATTTGTGAATTCCATGGAGATACAACGGACCAGTCTTTTATTCACAGTGAATCTCTGATTATTGAATTTTTTTCAATTTGATCGAACCTTGCTTGATTTTTTTCTTTTTTTTCAAGTTATTGATGTCAGTCTTCTTGGTGGGGCCAAGAATAATGCTTCTCAAGGAACAAATGTATGTACTTTATGGTGCTGTCACATAGATGTCCCAGACATTTTTTATGTGATATACTCTTTTTAAAGTAGGACATGAATTTGCACAGTTCCATAATGGTTGTTGTTATGTGACCTGCACTTGCCTGTTTGAAATGTAATTGAAAAAAAAATTGACATTGTAATTGAAAAACATGAGGCATAAATCTCCATATGAGGGCCATACAGTACTTAACAGCACAAGCAGGACCAGGGGAAAAAAAGGAGGAGTGGCTATTGACTGACTGTGGCCAGGTCAGCTGGGTTACTATTTGGTTTCCAGTTATGATGCACAGGCTTTGCTCTGCTTGGTCCATTTATAATGACCCGGAGCCAAATATTTTCCTTTGTTGCCCTTCCATGCAGTCAAAAGTATCTAATTATTATTCAAACAAATAGCAACCAGGGTGTTTACTGTGCATAAGAGATTTGGAAATTCTCTGGTTAATACTCAGTACTCTTTGGCTAAATTTTTGATGGCCCACATTATCTTTTTGTTTCCATTCAGATGTGGATAATTTTCCATTGGCACCCATACTTTAACTATTTTCCTGCTCCTTCATTCTTAAACCCTTTCTCTCCCATGTTCTCATTAGAAATTCTTCCTAATGTCTGTGCTAACAATTCCTATGATTTTGGATCAGAGAATTTGGTATCGGATCAACTAATAATCCTCTGATCAGTATTCTTCTTTATTTTCATCTCTTGTCAGTCTGCTTTATATTGTTATGACAATGTATGAGACAAATTCTGTCTTGGTCACTAACAGGAATTAGAGGATAATGAAAACAATGAATGACCTACATCAACTTGAGGTGTATATGCAGCCTGATTTGCGACCCGTATCAGTGTACTATACATTTTTTGCTTCTCCATACCATAGGTTGATATGGGTCTCATAACAAGTAATACCCATGTGCTTTTTGAAAGAGCAGAGGTAATATGAAATATTTATGGATATCATTTATAACATAACTAGAGCTAAATTATGACATTTGTCAATTTTACAGCATTTTCTTTTTCCTTATTTAACCTATGATTTATAAGTAATATTGTGGTTTTTAATAAAATCTCTATTGAAGTCCACAATGCAATTCAGCCTTTAAACCAGTTACCTGTATCATCTTGTTTCTGACATCAACTTGCAAGCCAGTCTGTCAAGGTCTGCATAGGTTCAGTGAGTCATCAACGTATGACCTTGATATTTACTAGTTAGCTGAGGCAGGGTGATGTACATTGTACCACAGATGAGAGAACTTTTGCAAATTACAATGAAATGGTGCATGCAGGTTAAGTACAGTTAGTGCAGTTAAACACTGAAAGTTATATAAATATTGAAGTTTAAACTGAATTAAATCTAGTTAGGTTTGCCCTTCTCTTTGTTTAAAGACTATCAGTGATGATATACCCAGAGAAAATGGAGGAAAGAAGGGATTTTGATCTGTAACATGAATTTAATGTCTTCTCTTTTAGGGTTCCATGTTGAATCTGACAGGGACAGCCAAAGGGTAAGAGCAGATAGCACTGTTGAGTGACACTTCAAAATACATTTACATGACTTACCATTGAGCAATAATAGTAGAGACCATTACGTTTACCATAACCTGTCATCCTCTTTAGAGTGATGAGTGATTATCATCTAGTTTCTCCCCACAGTATCAACTCTAAATCAAGTATTATGGTCATGAGGAGAAAGGAAATGATCACCAGCTTAAGAAATTCTTAATTGTGAAGCATACGCTCCTTGTTATTTCCTTAGGAAACATGTAGGAAACAGTATGAAGAATATGCTTGCTGAAGTTAGGATTTAGAGGGTTTATATCGGTCCAAATTGTCCTTAACTATTTTACCATAAAATAGAAAGGAGAAGTGCTGAACCAGTCAACCCTTTAACTCCCATGAGTGACCAAAACAAAATTTCTCCTTACAATATCAACACAATATCAACCAGATAAGTGATGAGAATATAGAAAAATATCAATTTGGGGATAATGAGTTGATCCAATAATAAATTCTCGGAACTAATATTACAAGTGTTGTATTGTTGACATTGAGGAGAATTACAAATTTGATCTGGGAGTTAAAGGTTAAACAGAATTAGAGATGTGAAGGTTTTTTAGTGAGGATGACATTTCTAAGTTTTAATTTATACTTTTGGAGTGTGTAGGGATAATATTGTTACTGTTTGATTTTCAGAAAAGCAGCAACACAGTCCATTATCAGTAGAGACTGGGACTTCACAAAGCTGGGAATTGGAGGCCTTGACAAGGTGTGTTTTCCCACTTTTAATGTCTATGGAAATAATTTGTTGCATTCAACTGGTACCAAACAAAATATCAAGTTGCATACGACCATACTACGATCTGTTGCAAACACAGTGTGGCTACAGCCCTCTCACTTCAGGGGTGACCTATAGTTCATTTCCCCTCACCATATCACCACACTGCCAAGCGGAAGGTTGATGAGAAGACAGAAAAAAAAAACGTCGGTTAGAGAGTATTGTCGGATTTGACACCAACTTCTCAGAGCTAGAGTGATAGAAAATGTCTGGCAGACAGTAAAGAGAATTTGTATTTAGATCTTTGGAGTCAAGGGGTACATGCTACTTGTAGTCAACACTTATTTCCTATGAAATGCTTGATGACAGTTTGTTTTGCTTTCCTTCCACCTGGCAACGCTGTATACATGTATTTTCTGTCATTTTGTTCTTTTGCAAACAGGAATTCTCTAACATCATAAGAAGAGCTTTTGCCACGAGGCTTTTCCCCCCAGAAGTCGTAGACAAATTAGGTGAGAATGCCAAGAGCTGTAGATGTAATAAATGAAAGGATGATGAAGTTTCTCCGGATAATATCAGCCCTGAATCATTGATTAAAGTCATGACTCTTAAACAAATTCTCCTTCTCGGCACCTAAGGAAATGTGAAGGGAACAGTCTGGAGAATATGCATACTGATGTTAGGGTATAAGGGGTTAAAACCTCGTAAATCAGTCAAGAGTCCAACACGTACGGTAGGATCCGCGAGAGGAGTGCATTTATTTGGGGGGGAGGGGGGAAGGGTGGGGTATGGATTGTAGCACTATGAAACTGTGTGAATTGTTAGCGTGAGTGAACATTCAACGGTCGAACGGAAAATAGATACCAGGCTTTGTTGTTCAATGCGCGGATAACGCTATCCAGCGGACAGCGGTATTCACCCAACGATCAATCGGGTCAAGGAAATAACCAATAGCGAGATTCACGTTGCGACCTTTTATTATTTTTGTTCAGGACTTCGGCATGTCAAGGGTATTCTGCTACATGGACCGCCAGGTATTTCTAACAGATATTTCATGTGTATATGCTGTCACACTGTGGAAAATCAAAAACTCGAGCACCTATAAGCGTGTTTGATTTTTAGGAGATTGATGCTCGTAATGGCTGCTGCTTGATTTGAATCCTTTATCATTAAACGACTTTATATCGCTAGAATCCTTATAGGGTGAAATTCAAACGTTTCTCAATGGTTTCGCCAGTGATTGATTATTCTGGGGTTTGACCAGTAAGAAGTTTAATTTATAAGTACCGTAGTAACTAACTGCGGAACTTGGTAAATTCAGGAACTGGAAAAACACTGATGGCTCGGCAAATTGGCAAGATGTTAAACACAAGGGAACCTAAGATTATCAGTGGACCAGGTGAAGTATCTTACTTCTTACCAACTTGTGTTACAACTATAAGAAGTATTGATTCAGTAACTAAATTGCGTTTTCCCTAGCTCATGAAACGCCTTGTTCCATTTTCCATTTTCCATTTTTCCATTTTTCCATTTTTCCATTTTTCCATTTTTCCATTTTTTCATTTTTTCATTTTTCCATTTTTTCCATTTTTCCATTTTTCCATTTTTCCATTTTCCCATTTTCTCATTTTCATCTGGTTGGCACTCTTCATTATTCAAATCGAAATGAGGTCTACCTACAAGCTCTGACTTAACTTGCGATCTTGTTTCAGAGGTTCTCAATAAATACGTTGGAGAATCGGAAGCCAATATCAGGTGAGAAAAGAGTAGAGACCGTGACATTGTAATGTGCATTCTAGGAGTCGTTCTCTGCGACTTGCAAAACAAGAACACTAAGAACACCAATGTAAAGAGAATAAATTAAAGAGGATCTGGGATAGTTGAAGATGGAAAAGATTAGTAAAGATTACAAAATGCCAATTTGATAATGAATGGACCAAGGTTTTCAAGATGCGCAGGCATTAGCGCTCTTACCGACAGAAAAGGACTGTAAGCGGCCAGAACGGCAACGCCAGGAAGATATCGACTGAAAAATGAAGTTATTCTTTTGTCGGAATTTCTCGAGTAGCCGTATGTGTTTACGAAACATGTGAAATTTCAATACTCGCGTCGCAGGTGAACAGTTCGCACATGTGGTGTAACGAAACTGTAACCCAGTCACCATGAAATAACTAAGCTTGTTCATATTTTATTTACAGAAAGCTATTTGCAGAGGCTGAAGAGGAACAGAAAAAGGTACAGTGCCGTCGCAACTGCTTTTCAAGCTCTTGGCTTTTCTTCTAAAACTTCCATGACGGTTTTGCGGTAATTAAGATTGTGGGTTCCGTTATGGACTATTTCGTAAATGAGTGTTCTCCAGTTTAATAACGAAGAGCATTCTATAGAAAAATAGGAATTGGTTGGGGTTCAATGCACCCAAAGGACTCGGGGACGGGATTGTTTCTTACAAAAGTTTCAGGCAATTATGAGGTTTCTTTTGCCCGAGTTAAATGGATTGGGCACAGGATGAAACATAAGTCGTCGGCTTGGGTATATAAGTAGAGGTTAAGAGCCTTTTCTTCCAATGAGAAATTTTATGTTAGGAATTGGTATTTTTTCGCGTACCCAGAAAGCATAGGGTTCCCGATAGGATCAAGAGTAACTGTCAAAGTTCCCATTATCCGTGGGCTGCTCCAGCGTAAGAAAAAGTGAAATCTTAAAAAGCGGTTAACATCCATCCCCTAGGGCCGGTGTTTTGAAGGTTTTTTTTTTTTTTTTCCAGGGGGGGGGGTGTTATCAAATGGTTTTCAGGGGGAACGTAGGGGAGATCAGCCGTCACCAACAGAGTATAAAGGAGAAACTAAAGAAACTTGACTGCCAGTTAACTGCCAATGAGGGGGAGGGGGGGGGTCATAATATTGTCACGTAGCCTTATGAGGAATCAGGTAAGTTTTGTTTTTCTCCCCCTCCCCCTCAGGTAATAGATAATGACGGGTCTCTCTCAACCAACTGTGAGACAGGGGAGCGACAAAGTTACCTAAGGGGACTTCTGTTCCGTATTTGTGTTATCCTTGCAGTTTGGTGATAACAGCGGACTTCATCTTATAATCTTTGACGAGTTTGATGCAGTTTGCAAGTCAAGATACATGTACAATGTAAGTACTAGTATCTTTTCAACCATTTCTATTTGTTATCGATGGCTGCTCCTGTTTCTTAGGACAGAAAAGACCGAGCCTTGTTAAATATGTGAGACATTTTTAACTAGGCTAGATGCGCTATTAGTATATACCACCGGTGTGAATAGTGCTTTTTGTGCTTGCTGATCGGCCAGTTCGGAAGTGATTAGCAAGTACTATTCACCTCTGAGCTGTCGAATAGACAAACCCGTGCATCAGGAGCTTGATTTCCGACCATTTTTCGATATATTGACATAACTAAAGATATTTTTGTTTCTATATGGCATGTGGTAAAATAATTAGTCAACTCCATATCAGAGGAGGAGGTGGATATTTATCTCCACTTTGGTGAATAAATGTTATAAGTAATAATAGGACTCATCAAGCTAAAACCAGAATAACCGCAACAGCCAATCAGAACAAAGGGGATTATGACAAGTGCCTAATGAGAACTCAAAGTGAAAACAATCAAACCGCCCGAAACGCGGGAAAATGCCCTTCAACATATCGCAATTTCTCTTGGTTTTGCATCTGATTGGTTGAGAGGGTAGAGTGAGTTTTCTTAACCAATTACATTTAAAGAAATTGCCGTGTTACATTTAAGTATGCAATGAATTATTGTTCATTTTTTAATATTCTTACTTTAGAGCGGAGGCACTGGAGTGCAGGACTCAGTTGTAAATCAACTTCTTGCAAAGGTGAGTAGATTTTGATGTCTCTCAATAAAATTCTTCAGAAACAGATTTTCTCAAAAGCACACTAATTCATGTGCCCCATAGATTCTTTACGTCCTGATAAGAGGTTTTTTATACTGTGTATACGAGATTTTCCCCCCAAAAGAGTGAGTGCGCAAAACAGGCTTAGGCGGGAATGATTTGATAGACTTAGAATGCTCGAGTATCTGAGGAATCTCGACATGAATGACTGTGGATGGAGGCCATCTACAATTAACAATTTTTCTGTTTGTTGCGGTTCTCACAATAATAAACAGGAAGCCAAAAAAACAAAATACAATTAAGGTTCAGTTATATGTATCAGCTTCGTGATCGTTAAGTGTACAGGTCGTTGTATAAAAATCGATGCTCTCTCCGTTGTATTCTTTTCCCTTTGTTAACTATTAATTTTGCTTTAGATTGATGGTGTGGAACAACTTAATAACGTTCTTCTCATTGGTAAGTTTCGTTAATGTCATTCATGGACGCTATGCAAGTGATGTTTATCCTTTAAAGATTTCTCCCCGTCTCTCCCCTCCCTCAGGTACCTGGACTGTACCTACGTCTCTTTTCACACAGCCATTTCCAATCTTGTACATAGGACATAAGACATAAGACTTAAGACAAAAGACGTAACACGTAACAAGTAACACGTAACACGTAACACGTAACACGTAACACGTAACACGTAACACGTAACACGTAACACGTAACACGTGACACATGAGTCATAAGTCTTCTACATGAGACGTTTATATTTGATAATTTCACTTGCCAAGGCAGTCATTATAAACTACAGACACTTATGTCTGCTTATCGGGAGGATATATTTGACGTTTTATTGTTTCGTTGCTCAAGGCATGACAAACAGAAGAGATCTCATCGATGATGCCTTACTCAGACCTGGACGACTTGAGGTTCAAGTTGAGATTGGTAAGTATGTTACAACGATCTTCATTCAAGTGCACTGCAGCTGTATCCTGTGGAACAAAGGCATCCTACAGTTGTGATGGATCCTCTTTACGTGTCCGTTTGACACTCTACCGCTCATGCGTGAACCACGACGCAACGTCAAACATGCCCTCTGCCTTCCACGCTTTGTTCACGAGCAACAATGAATTTAGTAAACCGAAAACGGGACAGTAACGGAAAGGACGTTAACAATAATAGTCAGATTTTAGAAAAACTCGGAATCCATCTACCCTCCCATGAAGTAAACTGAAAAAAAAAATTCAATCTTAAATACGACATTTTCAAGTTCTAAGACGCTAACCTGGTACTTTCGGGATGAGATCACGTGAAAAACTTTGTGGAAAAGAATCAAATTTGTCTGAGAATTGACATCGTTTTCCAAGGCCTTGCACTCAATCTCAATTTGAAAAAGAAGCTGTGAGTATCTCATAAGTGTTCTTTTACTGAGTGAAAATGCTTTTAGAGTTGCGCGATATATGTCTACAATAGTCACCTCAAAACGTTGTTTCAGCATGAGTTGATTCTTCTTCAGGCCTACCAGACGAACAAGGACGCGTACAAATCCTGGAGATTCACACAGCAAAGATGCGAGAACACAAGTTACTGGCACCAGATGTCGACCTGGCTGATTTGGCCGTCCAAACAAAGAACTTCACTGGGGCAGAGATTGAGGGACTGGTGCGAGCGGCACAGTCCACTGCCATGAACCGCTTCATTCAGGTACTGTAAGCGACTTTTCGTAGATAGTTTTTGTGCGGTGAGAATTCAGTAGAGACTTATGCAACGAACTGGCTTCAGCAAGCAATGCATCGTGGACTAGGTTTTATCATAAAACTTACTTATCACAAAATTCTATGACTTAAGGTAAGATTCCACTACTTTCCCAAACAAAGCATGCCCAAACGAGGGCCAACCGCTGATACATACACGACAGCAGTGTCGATCGGTAAACTTCCAGGGACGTTATTGGAGATAATTATCCTTTTTCCTTCATTTCAAAGCTCAAGAATAATTTCGAGATCGATCCTGAAGCAGCTGAGAAGATAGTTGTGAAGCATGAAGACTTTTACCATGCTCTGGAGAATGATATCAAACCGGTAAATGAATATTTTAGATGTGTAGTGCAATTTTTAATTCAGTGTCAAAAATAATCTTAGATGGCAATGGGTTTTGCTTTACTTCGTTCTATGATTGGTCCAAAAAGTTCGCGCCACTCTCTCAACCAATCAAATGGATAACTAGCACGAATCATGCCTTGGTCGCCCGCGTTTTCCCGCGCTTTAGTCAGTTTGGTTGGTTTTTTCGTAGGACACTCAGTCGGACTAGTTATGTTGTAGTGATTGTAGTGGTTGGGGAATATTGCCCAAGCAATAAACGGGGTTATAATGTCTTTCGTTGCAATTTTTTTCTCATGTCGATATATTATTTTAAATTATTTCCCATTATTTTGTTTTCTGTTGCACGTGTAGGCATTTGGACCATCTGACGACAATCTTGATCTGTATGTCGCCAATGGTGAGTCTACTTGAAGTTAAATCTCCAGCGGGGATTTTGTGCAGCTTAACTCTCTCTTTAAGAGTGACTAGCAACCAATTTCTCCTTACAATATCACCTCTGTATCAGACATAAAAGTAACAAGAATAAATGAAATTATCAGCGACTAAAGAAGCTCTTGATGTTAAACAAATTCTCCTCATCAGCACCTTAGAGAATGTATAGACAACTGTTTGGAGAATATGAATACTGATGTTAGGGTGTAAGGGGTTAATCGTACTGTCAACCAACGTAGCTTTCGTTTATTGATTAATGCAGTCAGTCATTCAGTTTCTCAATCAATCAATCATTAATTCATTTATTCAGCCAGTCATCCATTCAGTCACTCCCTTCCTCTCTCACTCGCGCACTCAGCCAGTTTTTCAGTCAATGAGTCATAAGTCAGTCAGCAAGTCTTTTAATTAACCATCGCTCCGACGAAGGTCTAACGCTTGAAACGTCAGCCTTTAAACTCTTTACGGTGGTCAATTTACGTTTTCAACTCAGTAATTAGCACTAAATTACCTGTTATACTCTCCCACCGACGCAGCACAACAGTTTCTTAAGAAACTTATCCCCTTTTTTCAATTAATCAGTCAGTCGTTGGGTAAATCATTCAGTCAACTAGCCAATCAGTGAGCCGGTCAATCTGTCATTCAGTTACGCGGTCACTGTGTCTGTCAGATACTGTCGTCCGTCAGTGAGTCAATCTGTAATTCAGTCAGTTAACTTATCCTTCTTAGACTCACTATGTGCTAATCTCTGTTGACTTATTTTGTTAGGAATTGTCCGGTGGGGTACCCAAATTCAGCGGATAATAGATGATGGAGACCTTTTGCTGCAACAAACACGAACTCAGGACATCACTTCCCCAATAACAGTCCTGTTAGAAGGTGAGTACCCAAAATATGGGGGAAAAAAACAAACAAAAGAGAAAAAGAGTACCTAAGAGTTATGCGAAACGACTCGTAGGTGAAACGACCGCATTCAGCAGTTATGTTTGAAAACTCTCTCTTTGGCAGGTCCTGTTGGATGTGGCAAGACGGCCCTCGCTGTGCACTTGGCTCTAAAGTCGGACTTCCCTTTCATCAAGTTGTGCACACCAGAAAACATGATCGGATTTGTGGAAAGCGCAAAATGCCAAACCATTAAAAAGGTCAGGATCTCACTGGTGCTCCTTTGAGGATTGGTACAGCCAATTTCGAAGACCAAAAATGGCCTTGTAGATTTCTGATGAATTCTATCGAATTCTTAATACAAAACATAAAGATTTGGGATTATGCCATTAGGAACTGAATGGCCAAAGAATAATATGAGTTGAACATCTGATAAGTAGATCTTCATGACTCACTTACACTGACTGTGCAACCGATAAAATGCTATGACGTCTGTGAAACATAGATCGGTCTGGTTTTTCTAGTTTCGTTATCTGAAGTACTGTTGTTACTACAATAATGTACAGGGCCATTTTCTAGTGATAATTTCTTCTGTTTTGAAATACTTTGATTTTTGACGTTAGATATTTGACGATGCTGACAAATCGGAGTTGAGCTGTATCGTCGTGGATGACATAGAGCGGTTGTTAGGTGCGTTCTCCAGCTGTTGAATTTACCCCATTCAATTAACTCGACTAACACAGTTCTTTCCCTAACCCTTAACACCCCAGTATGCAAACTTTCCATACTATTCTCTGTACAGAGCTTCTCTAGCCGGTAATCATTTCCTTCATTCTCGTGGCCGTGGTGTTTGTTCCATGGGTGATTTTGTACGGAGAAATTAGATGCTAGTCACACTTAGGGAACAAAGGGTTTTAAAATTATTTTCTTTATCTTCACTATCATTATCGATATTTTTTGGTTGTTTTGTTTTGTTTTGTTTTGTTTTTATTAATTTTTGTCACGTATATAAAAGGGTACTTGAAAGAATAAAATCTAAACGATGAGAGGATGGTTTTATTATCTTACTCACATTGTTTTACCTGGTTAAACTCTTTGACTCACGGACCAAATTTGTAATTCTCCTTACTATCAACCATACAATTCTTATGATGTTTGTTCAGAGAATTGAGTTTTGGATCAACTAATTATCCCCAAATTGATATTTTTCTTTATTCTCATTACTTATCTGGTTGATTTTGTATTAATATTGCTAGGAGAAATTCTTTCTTGGTCACTCATGGGAGTTAAAGGGTCAAATGATGCTGTGTTCCACTGTTTTTTTAACCTATATTTAGTAAAAATATATTTTCTGTTTGGATTGATGTTCCCTTACGTCGCTTCGTTTGCGTGAATTCATTAATTTTCAGACTATGTTGCTATTGGGCCAAGATTTTCAAACACTGTTCTTCAAGCTCTACTTGTGTTGCTCAAGAAAAAGCTAAGAAAGGTTCGTAAACCTACTATGCTCACATCCTTCCAGGTTTTACTTCTCGTTAGGTTGTCGACGATCACGACGAAAATGCCGATGACGACGGAGATAGCAACGATGTACTCTACGATAATTTTCGTATAGTTTTCGGATAATTTCGTGATAGCGAGGATAACAGCGATGGTGGTGATACACTTCGCCGTCAGCGGTTATTAACAACCACGATATGAACATTTGCCGTGAAAATGATGACGAGAAAGACGCGGCAATGAGAAGTTCATGACATTTTGATAAGAATTTGCCAAATTTAGACCGCTTTAAATAAGAGCAGCAGCAATTACAAATAACGCCTTTTTTACTTCTTTTTCTGTCAGGGTCGTAAATTGATTGTGATCGGAACAACCAGCTGCCGAGATGTATTGGAAACCATGGGCATCGTGGAAGCGTTTAATACTGTAATCCATGTGCCCTCAATCTGGTCCGCAGACCAACTCAAACAAGTGCTACAGGTTTGTTTAAATTAATTACAAAATACAGGGAGTAGGTTCGAAAACAAACTGATGCTGCCGTCGGTGAGGGGTATAACAAGATGATTTTGTTTTATCAACTTAGTTGATGATGTAAATTGGCCACCGTAACGAGTTTTTGAAGCTGACATTTCGAGATTTAGCACCTCGTCAAAGCAAAATACGAAGGGCTAATGCTCGAAACGTCAGCTTTACTGAGAAACTCTCTAACGTGGCAACTCAGTTGAAATTATTACTGTTTACGTCATGGATGTGAGCCCCGTCAAGTCTTTCTCCTTTAATTTCTTGTTTTTCCAACCTCTAGGAATCAAAGTTGTTTGAGGATGATGAGATTAAACAAATTGAGAAGAACATCGGCCAGAGAAGGTGTGCTACAGATATACAACGGATTTAGGACAGTTTGTGTTTCCTTACTAATGATGATCACCAATTTAAGGAGCTCGCGGTGCTTAAACAAATTCTCCTTGTCAGCACCTTAGGAAATGTATTGGAAACAGTATGGAGAATATGCATACTGATGTTAGGGTGAAAAGGTTAAGCATTTGTTAGGGAAAAAAATCAAAATAAAGGATATAGCACGCGTCACTTCAGCAACCTTCTTTTCCTATTTCATATTTAATATTTTAACAGTGCTTCTCGCACTTCTCGAGTGTTCTTAAAAATTCCCAAGTGCTTAACGATGCTCGAGGAACAAGTTTTTTTTATTTCTATTATAAAATGTATTGTGAATTTCTCGCGCTCGTATCGATGACGTAGGTTGCATTATATCTCAACAGTGCACTCGTGTGACGTAAGGCGCGTGCTTTATGGAAATATAATGAACTCGTTCTGACCAATCACGGCGCGCTTATTTTTTTTTGAACATTTTATCGTAACCAATCAAACTGCGTGTAGCATGCAGCTTATTATATAATTAGTAATTATTTATTTATTGAATTATTTATTTGCTTGTCTACTTTGTTTGGTATGCTCAGTTTACTTAAATCTATTTTCAGACTCTGTATTGGAATAAAGAAGTTACTCATGATGGCGGAAATGGCAGTTCAGGTACAGTTGCCCCTTTCGTGTCATCATTCAGATTTGTGGTGTTTGTTTACCCTTCTCGAGTTAAAAATGCCGTGTTTAATTGTAGAGAATGTGAACTAGCTGCTAAAGAAATTTTCAGTTGTGTCGAAAGTAATCTGAAGTTACTTTGTTTTTACTCTACTTCGCTATTTGATTGGTCCAGAAAACTCGCGCCACCCTATCAACCAATGAGATGCAAAACTAAATTCAATCACGACCTGGTGGCCTGCGTTTTCCCGCGCTTTGGCAGTTTGGTCGGTTTTACTTTCAGTTCTCTTTGGCTCTTGCTTTGGCTTTGGTTTTACGACACGTAATCGAAAAGCGCTCCAACAGCATATAGAGTAGTTTCAAAAATAAGCTTAAGAGAGTTTTAAAAATGATTGTTCTGTTAGGAAATTATGACTGGAATATCGGGAACTGCTTTTTAGATAGATTAGACAGATATTTTGTTATTTTGTTTTGATTGGCCAGGATGTTGAAGGTAAATTTGGTAGAGCATAAATACTCTTGTACTCTTATACTGTAACACAGATACAGATAGCTTAAATTTTTTTCTTTGTTTCTTCTTTTAGACTGTCAAGCGGGACCGAGTTGATAAATTTGTATGTCTTCTGGAAGACGAAAACTGGTGAGTACTGATTCGCTAAATCTAGCGTATGCCAGCTTTGTTTTAATGGTAGCGTTTGAGGTTTCTTCTGGAATAAATTGGGCTATATATGCAAAGAATGTCTTTTCACAATTGGACTTTTCAAGCACTTTCAAAGTTAGTTGTCTTTATCAAGGCGTAGTCCTTCGTTTTTCAAAGCAGGCGAGGTAGTAGATTCAAAGTCTGAGAAAGTATCAACTGTAAGAGTGAATTTATTAAATTACTTGTGGCTACTATGGGCAAAGAAAAAATGTCATTTTGCCCGACGAGACACTAACATATCCTCCAAAATGTGATGATCTTCACATGTTTTAGTTCCAAGAAGCTGAAGTCAACCTTTTTTCTTGTTGTAGCCTAAGAGGCCCACAGACATAATGCAAGACCATCAACAAAAATGAAACGACTGCAGGTTTGTTCAGTCATAGTTCTAGCTGGCTTTTAGCATGCATTATAGGCGTCTTACTGGGGCGAGTTAACGGTTCAAGCTAGCGGTTGTTAATCCAACCGGCCATATTTGGTTCAGATTTTAAATGGCCGGTGGGGGGAGGGGAGAGCGGTGATTGCTACTGCCCCACTGCTCCCCTCACCTTTCTTTTGAACGTCGCTCACCTCCCTGATAAAAATTTATTTCTCTCCTGACTCTTCCGCTGCTGTAAACATCGAATATGGCGGCTCTGATTTTCACCAAGAAAATACTGAGTACCCTCTCACCAAAATCACGCCCGTCCTGCAAGTTAGTTGGTTGAAATTTCACTAACTAACCTCGATTAATACTGTTAATTACCGGTTCCTTACCTCTTTGAGACCCAAAGGTGATTTTTTCTCTTTTGATGTTACTCCTTTGTTTTGCAGATGCTTCTTGTTCCAAGCAATTCGAGAGTTAATTCTGTTCCACACTGAGGATCGAACCCTGTGCATGTGTAACATTTGATTCAGGACAGTCAGCTACAGCAGTTGAATAGCTCTCGTAAAGCGTGCTCTTCGATTAAGTGTCTTACAACCAAAACCAAAATCTTGTACAGACAACGAAATATCAAATCGGCGGGAAAACACGAAAAATCAAGTAGTGATTGGTGGGAAAGGTTGGCGAAAATTTCCAAGGCCAATCCCAGGGCGGAGTAAAGCTAAAACGAACCAATCCGGAATTGCTTTTGTTACTTAATTGAAAATTACTCTATTATAACTGTTACAAAGAGAAACAAGTTAAAATTTGATTACTACACAGGAAGTGACCAGCCATCGACGCATATACCAACAAATTCAAATACATATTACATATTTCTTGGAAAACACTTTGCGTTGTATTTTGAAATTTTGAAATCTCTTATATAAAATTAAGGAGAAAGTAAGTGAAGCATGCAACTACGTACGATTTGTAAAATGCACTTTTATAGTTAAGTCTCTCTATAATCCGTAATTTTCTGATTTTAATCAAAGCGAGGTATAATTTGAATAGATTTGTGTATCTGTGATAAATTTTACGGTGTTTACCCTGTCCTTACACTGGAGGAATGGAATCTCATCTCATCACTTTTAATATATACGATCTTCAGAGTTGATAGCTAGTAAGATATGCGAAAATAAGAAAATGTATTAGGTTTAGTAGCCCTAGTGAGGGTGGAATCATCTTGATTCTCAGTTGTCGGTTAACTCTAATTAGTTGTTAAAATTTATGCGAATGCTACAATAAATTCCTTTTGAAATGATATTTTAACGGTCTTATGTGCGCATCTTGCTGCGTTTTACAACTGAACGAGCCGACTCACCGAACATTTTACTGAGAATGTTCAGGCCGCTCTCGGAAAGTCAGAAAACCAAGAGAATACAAATATATTCTGTTGAGAGAACCATCTGAATTGCAGATTATTTCTAAAATTAGTATTAACATTTTCGATAATTCTCGCACGAGGAAAGAGCTTATGAACCAGAAGACATTTCAGCGCCTTCTCCAGCTTCTCCAAGGCCAAGAAATATGCCTTTTCAACGTTATTACCTTGGGTATAGTCAGTTCTGTCAAGACCGGCTTGAGTTTCATCGTGACTGCAGAATCGAGGGCCTTTAGGATGTCTCTCTGATGCAAAATTTCTTTCGTTTGAATATGTTTTGAAGAGATGCAGTGTTCTTGTTGTCGTTGTTGCTACTTGAAAGTTAAACTAAAGACGTTCGCATGGAGTAAGAGCCTGATACATGTTGAACAGTGTAAGAAAATTCTTCAATGCAAACCGCCATAGCAGTTGACTCATTAAACCACGTGACTTTAAGAGCGACAATATTTTATTATCAATACCTTGATCTCTTTTTTCCTCATATCTCTTATTTTTTTCTCGACTTATTTTTGTACTACAAATATTTATTAACTTCTTTTTAACCTCGTTCAGTTTGCTCGGGCAGCACTGAGAAAACCTGGCTCTCGATCGTTCTTGTACGGACCGAGCTGAACTTGGTTCGTACAAAAACGACCCAGGCCCACTGTTCTTTAGTACAGCTCGGGCAAGCGAGGTTAAAAGGTGTTTATGACTAACCGAAGACTGACCGAATTACGTGGCACTCGAAGACTGACTCGAAGTCTGACCGAAGACTGACCGAAGATTGACCGAAGATTGACCGAAGATTGACCGAAGATTGACCGAAGATTGACCGAATTACATGGCACTCGGGCTAAACTTGACGATTATGAATTTACCCACTTGCGATAGCAAAACTTCGGGGCTTTTAATCGTTTCCGTGGAAGTGGTCCATATGGCAAAATCCTGACCAGGTAAGAACCAATCAGAAGGCAAGGATTTACCTCAAGACTACCTTGCCATAAAACAACTTACCTTTATATTGGTTGAAACACTCTTGATATTTCCCTGACTCTCAATTTCCACTAAAAGAATAAATGAAAAGGTGATCGTACAAATGTTCTTAGGACTTCCCCTCATCACTAGAAGATGGGGGTTAGGGTTTTAGTCCTGATGGGATCATTGTGCTTTGTTTTTCGAGCGAAACTCGACTGAGTGAGGTAAAAACCAAAGTAATCACAACAGCCAATCAACGGAAAGGAAAATATCACAACGAAAAATATTTTTTGTATTTGTTTCCAAAAAAACAAATACACCTAGAACAAATATCTCCAAATATCTAAAGACAATATCTTTAGTTAAATATTCTTCCGTTTTGGAAATTACCTTGTTTTTTCTTTGGATAAGTGGTTGTTGCCATGGTTATTGTGATCGTTAAAATTTGCGAGCACGAAAATTTTACTTGCAAGCAGCGAGCACTTTAGAAAAACACAGATGGCGAGTAGCGAGCGCTTAGAGTACTTCGTAAATTTTCCGCTGGCCGGAATCTCTCTTTTATTAATAGGATAAGTTGTTTTGCGCCAAGTAATAGCTAATAATCTGGCTGACACCTCCAGAACAGAACAATAGGTGCAAAGCTAGGGCCAGCATCTTACAGCCAATTGTGCCCTGCTTGATGCCAAATTACGTCACGTAGCTTGACGTGAGTCAGTCGGGCTGGACGCTCAAGAACTTCAAGAGCCCTCAAGGAGACCTACCAGATCCAAAGCCTGCGATTTAAAGTTTTTCCATATCTTTCTAACCTGACGCTAAAATGGAAGGTATAGTTTTTTTGGTTATATAGTTCTTATGAAATGTAAATAACGTGACATTCGGTCTAACAAGCATTTCGGACTTCGGTTTCGATGATTGACAAACTGGTTTCCCACTGATTGACTGAAAAAGATTCAACGCAATGAAGCTTTATTTATTTGGAGGCTTCTAGAATCTAACCAATTACAGCCGTACAGATCTGACAAGCTCTAGTAGTAGCTCTGAAGGTCAAATAGTACTGGTAATAGTGGTATTTCTCTAGATTACTTTCTACCTTCGCGAGTGCCTTTCGAGAAAAATTCTTACATTTCGTGTTTCCGCGCGACATGGAGATATAGCTTCTAGACATGTCTCCTCGTTTGGCAAGGCCTTTAGTTTTTGATCAAAATAATTAAAGCAACATTTCATTCAAGAATTTTTCTTAGTCGGTGAAGCCCGAACGACCGAGGGTTGTTATTGATGTTATTTTGTTTAATCGGGTTTCATATGCCACCGTTATATTATAATAGATTATGATAGTTATTATTACTAGTGGCCAGGAAGCTTCCAAGGTTGAAAAATCCGCTACAAAATTCGATCCGATACACTGTTTCAAAATATTATGACTCCGACAATTTTATTTCCTATTGCCCACTGGAAAATCCATCATATCTACAAACCCTGATAAGCTGCAGCTCGTGGTAAAACCTGAATAGTGACCGAATAGTGCGAATAGTCGCGAATAGTGCGAATAGTCGCGAATAGTGACGAATAGTTACGAATAGAGGCGAATAGTGGCGAATAGTGGCAAATAGTGGTGAACAGTGTCGAATAGTGGCGAATAGTGACGAATAGTGACGAATAGTGACGAACAGTGGCGAATAGCGGCGAATAGTGGCGAATAGTGGCGAATAGTGGCGAATAGTGGCGAATAGTGGCGAATAGTGGCGAATAGTGGCGAATAGTGGCGAATAGTGGCGAATAGTGGCGAATAGTGGCGAATAGTGGCGAATAGTCGCGAATAGTGACGAATAGTCGCGAATAGTGACGAATAGTGACGAAAAGTTACGAATAGAGGCGAATAGTGGCGAATAGTGGCGAATAGTGGCGAATAGTGGCGAATAGTGGCGAATAGTGCCAAATAGTGGTGAACAGTGTCGAATAGTCACAGCTCGTGATAAAACCTGAATAGTGACCGAATAGTGCGAATAGTCGCGAATAGTGCGAATAGTCGCGAATAGTGACGAATAGTTACGAATAGAGGCGAATAGTGGCGAATAGTGGCGAATAGTAGCAAATAGTGGTGAACAGTGTCGAATAGTGGCGAATAGTGACGAATAGTAAAAATAAATGAATTAATAATGAAATTAAAATTTTTATTGTCTTATTTCATAGATTTTATAGATTTATTTTATCTCTACAAAGAGACATAAGGTAACACATGGACTGGACCATTGGATCCTTGGACTATTTTTTGGACTACTTTTTGGACCATTTTATCCGGGGGGTGGGGGGGAGGCAGACCATTAGTACATAGGAAGGGATGGTAGGTAAACTGTTGTTACTGAGGGTGGGGCGGAGGATGAACATTAATACGCAGGGAGAGGTGGGAGGTTCATCTTTTAGTAACTGTTACTGATTTATGGAGTGTTTATTGAATCATACAAATTATTTTGAGCGGTTTTTCGATTGACTATTTGTATATCAAAATTTTGGCGCTGGGCCGTATCGTTTCTTTAATTTTTTGTCACGCGAATGCGAAACTGGCACCTAAACACTGGACTATAATTGTTATTGGAAATATCGCCAATTCCTGTTTTCGATCCTCCACTGTTAAATCATGCGTGTGCCTGTTAAGTCGAATTGTGCCAGTGCCAAATGATACTCGCGGGTTAGCACGAATCATCTGTCAGTTGCCTCACGTTTTCCTTTTTGTGTGAAACAAAAAAAGCGAAGAAAAAGCGCGATGTCTCTATAAGTGGTTTCACGACATGGGGTGTAATCCAGCTGTCAGTGAAACTCTCAGACAGTAAAATTTTCCGGGCAGAGTTGGTCACAGTTACTGACTTCTACGCGATTTCCGGTGTCGGTGAGTAACTCTTTTGTTTACGACACGGTAAGTAGTACCGCTATCTATTTATTTCAGAATGATAATTTACATGATTAAAACACAATTCGATGTAATTTAAAAGTTCATATTACGAACATTTGTGAACATGGATAACTAGTTTTGTTTTGTGTCATGTTCTGATCATAAACAGGTTGTTTAACACAGAAATAAACTTTCTAATGAAATATTTCCTTAGCATACTCGACAAGACAATAGAACAAATAAATAAAAAAACCTATTTGCATCATGAAACAATTCATGAATGGTTCTCAGTCATGCAGTCATGCAGTCCTACTGAATCATGATGTAAACAGAAACAGGGCTTTTAATTTCTCGTACATACTCTAAATAACTTGCATATATACCTATTTCCAAACCCTTGCACTTCACTTTACTGACATACCAGAATCTGGAAGTTCCTATCTCGAAACCAGTTTTAAAATCATTTTCATGCTATTGGCCTTGTACCCGGCAACGAATCCGATGTCAGATTTCAGATCTTGGACCTTTTGAAATAGGTTTATATATACATAAGAAGCGATATTAGCCATGCAGTCATATTAAAACCGATTTTAAATTACTGCAGGCAAACGTTCATAGATGAGACGGCAGCCAATATTTTAAACTATATTAGATTCAAATCCAGAGCTTTATAAATAATTTTTGCTCCTTAAATCTATGAAATAGAGCAATAAATATTTTTTGTTTCATTATTAATTCATTTATTTTTACTATTCGTTACTATTCGCGACTATTCGCCACTATTCGCCACTGTTCGCCACTATTCTTCACTATTGCCACTATTCGCCACTATTTGTCACTATTCGTCAATATTCGTCACTATTCGTCACTATTCGTCACTGTTCGCGACTATTCGCACTATTCGGTCGCTATTCAGGTTTTATTACTAGCCGATAATTTGCTCAAATAAATGGGAATTAAGATCAACAAAGGTTCGCAAGTAATGTTGTCTCTACAGGATATTATGTCACCTCCCGTCATGTCGAGCCTCCTCTTAACTATATCAGAATTTTCCTGGTAGACAGATCGTGTTGCAGTCATCACGTTTTCTTGTTCAAGCGAAAGAAGGTTTGAGTCATTGGGTAAATTACTAAACTGGTCAAACAACAATTATAAGGCTAGCTTCAAGCAATGAAAGCGAATCTACTGAGAGAAAAAGTTACAGAGGTAGGGATGTTTCAACCTTTTTGTTTTAACCATATCATAACTGATTTATCGTTTATATATATACACATATATATATATATACTACAAAGCGGGATTAACGAAATTTCAAGCAATCGAGCACAAGTTGACGAGAATGCGAGCATGCGAGCAGTTGCAAAAATTTTTCGAGCACGAGAAAGCGAGCACCCGTGTAATTTTTGCCAGCAATTCAAGCAAAGGCCAAATTTTGTGAGCACTTTTAAATTGAATGGGACCATTCGATACCCCTTAAAGCTGCACGCCAATTCTTTTTCTCGGATGTTTATGCCTTTATCTCTTTCGAATTTTTTGGATCACAAATATTAGCACGAAACGAGTACAAAAGTTTTTAAAGAAATTGCATCATGGGAGAGCAAAAAAGGTCAATCAGAATTCATCGATAAATCTGGATTCATCGATAAATCTCATTCATTTTTACGCTGTACAAGGCGGTGCCAGTTTATTTAACAGGCTCATTTTGGACCTAATATTCTAGACTCATAGGAGATAAGACTCAATTGCTGCGATTTCATCTTGAACGCAAGCTTCCATTGAAATAATCGTTGATGCTTAGTACCTTAGTAAAGCAAAGCCTTATCCGGCGGCGTTCACTCCATGCGCAGAGTCACTGCAATTTTTCTACAAATCTAAAACATGACGCAAGTCATTATAGTTAAAAGTGCATATGGCTTGATTTTCCTTTATCGATTAGACAGTAAATTTTAAAAATCTGTTATACTCCTCACTTTATTTGCGTAATTTACAACTGAATAGAAATTTCTTTTGTATCTGTGGAAATTCACTCAATTGATGTAGACCTCATTACTCTTCGATTCGTTTTGACCAGGCTAACGGTCAAAATTTCAGCTTTAGGAACTCTACATACGGTGGCCAATGCAATATCAACTCAGTTGGCAAAACCAAATCGTCTTGTAACATCCTCCACCGAGGCATGGCCACAGTTTATTTAGGAGCGAACCCACTTTGCTCATTATTACGTGACACGTTTGCTTTAAGTTGTTACTCATAAATGTTTATAAAGCATGGAGGAAAATGTCTTCTCCAATCGTGGCTCATAACTCAGCGCACACAAAACCGAACGCAATGTAAGCGAAATGTAATGCTATAGTTGGTCTCACGAAGTAGACGGCTATACCACGCGAAATTTCGATTTTATTGCGTTTAAGATCTTTATCTTCTTCGGTTGATTTGGTCGACTGATTAGTTGACCTTGTCGTCTGAAGAAGATAGGGAGTATATTTTTACCACGATTAAAAAACGCAGCCCACCCAGTGCGTTATTCATACGGTAATCAATGTTTTGGTCCGGGGTTGGTGTATCATTGATGGTTGTAAACCTACATCGTATGTCCATTTGCTTTCAACCATACTTGCAAAGTAAAGGATCGAAATGTTTATAATCAGCACAATGTAAATCAGCTATTTCAAATGCAAAACAATCCAATCTCCTACAAAAGTGACATTGAAGACAAAAAACGGGCAAATTAACTAAGGTTTGAGAGAGAACATAAACAACACAGGACGAAAAAATAATGATGAGTCCACCAGTTTACTAAAGATTCGCTTACAGTTTCATTACCGACATTTCATTCCTCATTAACAATATAAATTTGTTGGATCAATATCAGTATCCGAGACACTGCGTACCCATCTCTCCCCTTACCCCAAAAAGTCAACTAATATCACAACTTTTTCTCCGCCATTCGTCCGAGGGTGACTAACTGCCCTTTGTAGAAGGATTTTCAGAGACCTTAAGCAATCAGGACAGTAACGCTGTTAAAAGACGTCTATTAAAAAATGAATTTATACAGTTATATTTTGACGAATGGCTGGATACGTATACCGTCTCCTACGGTCACACCTCAAATTCAGCAAATGTATGTGAGCAGCGCTGAGTTCCAAATGGAACTTAAATAATTTGCAGTCGGGGTTTCCGCTCTTACACTACACAAATTGATGTTGTCTTGCAGAGGACGGCTAAAGAGTTTACAAAGTTCTCAAACGTACGTGTTGAGTTCTTGCTCTGCTAATTAAATCTTTCGTTTTGACACGTCCTCGTTACCGTGACCGTCATGCTTTGCTTAAGTTCCATAGTTCTTAGTTTTTGTGACGCCTAGCACGTACCCCACAAATTAACCATCGCCTTGACTGCAGATGGCCGTTATAGAAAGGTTAAATGAGAAAAAATGTATGAACAGTCGACCAGGACAGAGCAAGAAGCGGTTTTAGGGCGGTAGCGTTTACGTTACTAAACCATCGACTGCAAAAGTTTCTTGAATAAAGCCGCAAGTTTCCAATTTTTTGTAGTATCGACAGGGTTTGTTAATCAGTTGTTTCAGGCTTTGAACACATTAAGTGATGGCAACAAACAATGGTTAGACAATAGTAATTAAGGTTTGAAAACATTGACGTGTTTTGCCTAAGGGAAGCAATTCTAATCCAATCGGCTTTTTAACCCCTAATTTAAAAGTTTGATAACTTTTTGCCTCTCAGTTCTCCATTTTCAAGATGTTTATTGTGATTGGCACGTTTTTAACAGCTTGCTCAATTGTACTTTGCATTTGTGGGTAGTGTTCCGTAATAGAAAATAAGTAACAATTTTTCACCGGAGTGGAGGTGAATAATTGTTTTAGTCTATACCGCAAATAGTTTATTTCTTTAATACACCGAAAAAAAGTCGAAAACTTAACTCCTGACAAACGATTTTGTCTAATCGGCTGCTCGGATGCGAATACTATTATTACTTGTTATTCCGTCCCGAACCAACCAATCAGCGCACGAAAAGCACAATTTACCCATGTGATATTAACCATGACTGTCTTGATCAAATCTAATCAAAACAGCCGCTAATTAATGTTGGCTATTTTTCATCAATAACTCCATACAACACTAGAGCTAATCGGACAGTCTGATTTAGTTGTACACAGTGTTTATCAGACAAAACTGAGTATCACTGGAAGCAATAATACCATGTTACCTCAAAAAAACTTTTGACTTTCATGAGTTTCATTGAAATAGCCACGCAATACGATAAACTTGCGCAATTGCCTTTTATGGTCACTGAGCAGAAGAGGATGATCTTGAAGTGTTTTTGAAGATCACCGGAATAGATAGTCATGCAAGGAGTTTTGAAGAAGCTTTTAAATCCATCTGGTATCCCAAGCACTTTATCACGTTTATGTATAGAAGTGTATGTTATCAATAAAGCTTTTTCTAAGAGGCAAATGGGTATCAGATTTATTGCTGTAACTTCACAAATTTTAAACGACAAAAAAAAAATTAAATAGACAATTTCCCAAATAGAACTGCACGTTTCCTGATTTGCATAGTAATTACATATTACATACTGGGCAAATGACTTGTAATTTGTCTGTTATGCGACAGTTGTCTCAAGGTCTACAATAGCCCACTCACTATCAATATCACGTACTCATAGATGGCATTGGAAGACTGTAAATTGTCTAAGTAAAAGAAAGAAATTAAGCAACTGGTTTGTTTCCCTCGCTTTTTTCTTTTGGCGATGGGGTTTAAAACGACCGTGAGAGCCATGCCATAAGTTCTAATGAAGAACAGTATTCTTATATAACAGCCTGCCTCTTGAGTGTAGCGTTCCGGAGATTGAATACGGCCTCATAAACAGCCATTACTTTTCAATTCGATGAGATACTCTTAACTGTAGTTACTTTAATCAGTACTATCAACAAGCATCCCGCGACAGAGTATTTTATTGCTGGAAGAAATTTTATTGCTGTAAGTAATTTTTCGATCTCAATCTTCTGATGATCCATTTTGATGAACTGAAAGTCTTTGTACTTCATAATCATAACAGTAAAAAAAAAAACCTAAAGAAGCTTTTATCTTCACCTTCCCGTAGGCACTCTCCAGCAATGCAATATCAGAAATTAGACATGAAATATCATCTAATGACATAAAAGTACCCTTAGCATTCTTGCCTTCAAGAAATGGTTTAAAATGACGTAGAACTCCAAGAAGAAAAAAAGGGTTAAGAATTTACAATTCTTCAGTTAGTTTATTTTCAAATCGCAATTAACAACTTGAAAGGGAATTTTGGAACCGCAAAAAGGGAGAGTTAGGAAAAAAATATTAGGCGTGGAAAAACGATGAGACAGCATGCAAATTGACTTGCTTTGTTTTTTTCTGTCTCACGTCTCCAAAATTTTCTTCAAAAATGTCAGTCTTGGTCATATTTAAGATAAAATTCAGCTTTCCTTTGCCACTATGCAGAAGCGAATTTACGATGTACAAGAATGAGTTTATAAATTGACTTTGAAAACATGGCTTTTTCGACAACAGGCTTTAAAATTTTCACCCTCCGTCCCCAAACGTCCTTCACCTCAAGCACTTAGTTTATCAGAATTAATCCCCCGACAAGCGTTTTGGTCACTGAGCAAAAGGGTTGAAGAAGAACTTAAGATCAAAGGGTTTCCTGTTTATGCGTCGCAGCCCGTATCCCGCTTTGTGGCCTCAAGCGCTTTCCCACATTGGAATACCTATTATTAGATTTAAGGATCTACATTCCAATTACATTAAAGAGCTGCACGCAGTCCTTCCAGCTCATAAGTTGTTCAGTTTCATACGGACCACTTAAGTAATTTCGAGAATCGTCCAGAATCGTCCAGAATCTTATGCAAGTTGTGCAAAGTAAGTGCCTTTATATATTTTCAGTTTTTCAATAAGGATTGAGATAAGGGGAGTCGAAACCGAGTTTACGAAGGAGAAACCTTCACAAAAGGAAATCTCGTAAGCGAAAGTAACTGCTCACACGATGCGAAGTCGTGGGATAAGGTTTGACACTCAAAACATGCCTTGAGCTTAGAGCAGCCTTAACTTTTTTCAAGGCTTTAGTCATTCCTGACCTCCATTTGGACCGTCAGGCTGGATTATTTTACATGATTTTCATTAGCTTGTTGGTTCGTCTGTTATTCTTGTGAGATAAGACAGAGAGAGACACTCCCTGCACTTTGACAAAAAAACAGTTAAGAGGGAGGAGTGGGTGGATGCCGTCTCATCTCTCCCACAAAGGAGAGGTACTATGTCAAGGCATTCATCCGAATCTAATCTATACATTTGCTAATTCTTATGAATGGCTTTTCTCCGCTGGTGATATTGTATCAACACTGATCTATATCTCCTCCATGTGGTCATATGAATTTTCTCGCTGTTTCATTTTAAGCTAAAAATGAAGAGCCCTGTAGTTTTGGCGTTTGCTGTCGTCGCTCTGTGTGTCGTGGAATGCTCTGTAGCAGGTACAAAATTTGGTTATTTTTTTGCTCATTTACATTTGCTTACGTCTAAAGGAACCAATCATCATTTATCCCTGAAGGCAAAGGGGGGTTGTGTGAAGAGTCCGTGGATTTTGATTTTGTCACAACAAAACTTACCTGATCCCGTAGAGCTCTCTAGTATTCTACTGATCCCCCCTCATTGGTGGTCAGTTTTCTGTAGTTCCCCGTTTCAACGACTCTGATAGAGACGACTGGTCCTCCCTTCGTGGTCCCTGAAAACCATGTGTCCCCCCCCAAATCCTCGGCCTCCACCCCCTCCCCTGACCTCTCAGGCGATAAATAATTATTGGTCCGCAACAGGCGGTGTGCGCACTCCGATTGCGTTGCATCATGGTCGTAAAAGAAAAAGTGAGTCATTCGCATCTTTAGGCGGTCGGGTGAACATCTCTTGTGCTAGCGAGAATAGCAGACTGAGTCCGCAAAAAGTATCACTATATGACTGAAAAATGAGCTGAACTCGAATTAAGTGTTTGATGCGTGCGAAAAAAGGGTTTTGTGGGAGTCTGTAGCAAGAATGCTTTGAAATCTGCTTGGTTCTATACTTCTCGGCAAACGCTTGAAATTTTCCTTTCTTATTTTTTTTTTCGTAATTTTCAAACCGTCCCAGACCCTTGCGCAACCCGTTCCGGTCTTATGCACAAGTGTTTTCAAAATGACCGCCAAAAAACTAAAGAAACCTCTCACCTCGTTCTTAATTCATCTGTTATCCAAGAAAAGATTCTTGACAGATGCGAAGGCTCGCTGCAAAGGGGTCTGGTTATTAAAAAGTACAATTTGCAATTTAAAGCTCATGTTCCAAATCATTACAAAGCTAAGCTCATCAAATTATTTTATTCTTTTCAGCTGAGAACTTTAAGCTCAAGGCGGATCCTTGGGATGAACAATACATTGCAGGAGATACGCGTAAGCTTATTCAAATTATTCCTTACTAAGACTATTCCGTTTAATTATTCCAAACCCAAGATCTAACAACCAATTTTATTGACTAGCATCTAATTTCTCCTTACAATATCACCCCTCAATCACACATTAAGGTCATGAGAATAAAGGAAATGATAAACAACTGGAGGAGCTCTTAATTGTTAAACAAATTCTCCTTGTCTGCAGCTTAGGAAATGTATAGGGAATTATATAGGAAAAAAAAAATATATATATATATTGATAGAAGGGCCTAAAAAGTGAAAAGTTTTTAATTTTACCTTCGACTCACCATATTTTATTGAAGATTTCCCTCGTGACCCCGAGGAAAAGGACGAAGACGATGGAATAGTGGAAAATGACGAAGACGAGTTTGGTAAGTTTTCTGTAGATACCTTTAAAAAAGAGTGATAGTCTGGGTCTACACTGCATTGATGGGATTGTTTCGTTTGCATAACTGCTGAGCTATTATTAAATATTTCTTTTCTGGAGTACGTGATCATTTGTGAATTGCAAGGATTCGGGGCTACAGAGATCACATAATAGAGCCGCTTACTTACGACAGCTATCGCACTTCCCTGTTTCTATTAGAACTGGCATTAATTGAAGGATGCTTTTGCAATTGTTGGCACCCAGCTGTTTATAATGTTATATTTCCCTTTTCAGTAATTTTTCTCTGGCGTTGTTAAATAAGCAAGTGAATTAATTTTCCTCCTCAGACATTCCCCTTGAAGACTTCGAAAATTCAGAGGAATTTCCCGAGAAAATTTTCAAATTTCGTGATAGAGGTAAGCACATCACTTAGCAAGACATTACTTGTGGGTAGACAGAGTGACCTCGCATCTTTTTCAAGAGACCACATTACGCACTAAAAATCGCCTTTTTGTCTCATTTTTTTCTCTCTCTTTAGAGACAATGCGGAAATTTTCAGAGCAACCAATAAACCTTCATGAAGATCATGTGAGGTCATATGGGCAAGGTAAAGTGCATGATTATTTCACATGTTATAAATTTAACATTATTTTTATCTAAATTTCTTATGTTCCCGGTCCCCTCATTTTGATATAGCGTCAGTAACTTTCGAAGGTAGCACACCTCTACTCAGTTTTCTGAAAATTTTGATCACATTAAGGGTATCGTATGTAAATTAGACGTAGAGTCAAAGCTGGAAATCGAGATATGAAATGCGGTAGAGAGGCCAAGGTTTATCGTATTTCTCTCGCAAGATCGCCAGAATTTGCAGCGTGATCATGTATTTCACGATGTGGGGACAGAGTTTACATAGTTGAGACAGTTCCATGCAAGACAGTTCCATGCAAAATTCAGGCCTTTGAAATATTCTTTGTAAATGTCACATTTCAGTATCTAACGTCGACAGAACACTTCGCTCTCTTTTGTTTAACTAGGCAGCAAATACTTTTTGCATATTCTTTCTTCAAAGGGCTCATTGAAGTTGTGAAGGTTGAAGCGATGACTGGTTCCGATGATCCGCTACGTAGAGGAGAAGGTCAAAGTTCTTACTATGGTAAAAATCCACAGCTGTTGATCGTTCTGAAGAATGGCAGGGAGTATCGCGCAGAGCTGCACTACAGGAAGACAGCAGGTCAAAAATATACAATACAATTGGGAGCCAAAACTGCTTTCGAACCGCGACTTGCCTGCACCCACGGAGACATAGACAAAGTTTATCTCGAGGCTCAAGGAGGGGATGGATGGTACGTTGCATCGATCAACACCTACACCGCAGGATCAAACAAAATCTTCACTGAGCTGACCACTGATCCAGGCTTTAGTATGTGGGTGGACAACGATGAAGAACACCATTACCCTTACAATGCCAGAAAGCTCCTCCTTACCAATGCTGTCGCAGGATCCTGTATCACATACATACGTGTAAATGCAGTGACGGGACACATGTATGGAGCTGAATCTTCAACGTCGTACACTAAGTATAAAAGTCACATGATAGTTCTCACTTTATCAAACAACCAAAAATATCAGGCCGAACTTGAAGGACCCATGTATCGAGGGCAATCCTATGTGCGAGAGCTAAACTTTGCAGCCCGGTTTGGAACCACAAACTGCGTGTCGTTATCTGACATTAAGGAAATCCACTTAAAGGCTAGTAGTAACAAATACGAAGATTGGTACATATCATCCATTCGCACCTCTGCTAAGACTGGTGTGGAACAGTACATGGATCTGACAAGTGATCCACACCTTAACAAGTGGCTTAGAGGGTACGATTCAAAAGAAATCAAACTAACATGGGTACATCAAGAGACCCTCAATTGTGAATACGGAAATCCAACGTGCGAATGCATGGCACACGCAAAGGTTTGTAAATTTAATCTTGAAATTGACGAAATTCGAACCTTCACCAGCTATCAAAAGTTGTCAGTGGATGAGCCCACAGGGGTTGCGATGCGAGGATCTCAGGGAGTGATTTATTATCTCGATAACGATGGGTCTCCCACACCACTCCAGGATGACAGAACATGTTCAACGCAAGACAGCGCCAAGTGCACTTATCCCCAATTTGTTGATGGTAAAACGTATCGTTTGGCAATAGCCGTCAATGGACTAATTCCTGGACCTACCTTGATTGTTCACGAAGGGCAAACTGTTGAGGTGCATGTTCACAATAATCTCACCACTGAAGGTATTTCAATTCACTGGCATGGTATGCATCAGAGAGGGACACCTTGGATGGATGGTGTGGGGCAAGTAACTCAATGTCAGATAGGACCATCATCGACCTTCACATACGTTTACAAAGCTGAACCTGCCGGCACGTTTTGGTACCACTCTCACAGTGGCGCTCAAAGAACAGATGGCTTCTTTGGTGGACTTGTTGTAAAAGAAAGTCCTGAGAAAATGACCCAGATTCGAGATAAACTCCATAGGCACCGTGCATTTGAAGACCTTCCAGACCAGCACACCTTAACGCTTCTAGACTGGCAACATGAGGCATCCTTAGACCTGTTCACACAGATTCACGCCAGTTTAGGCTTTTACCCAGGCAAGCCGCTGGGAGAGGTGCCAACTAAAGATGATTTAAAGCGGCGGTATGACTCCACGCGTAGTTATGAAGAAGGAGAGGTTGGACCAGTCCCGTATTTTTCCGGAATTATAAATGGAAAAGGCAGGCATGATGATGTTCCATACATCAAAACCAGACTAAGTATATTTTCTGTTCAGGCTGGTAAGACGTATCGCTTTCGGCTCATTGGAGCCCAAAATCTGTACGCCTACAAATTCTCCATTGATGGTCATAAGCTGACTGTGGTGGGCACTGATGGATACTGGATCCAGCCTGTAGAAAACGTTGATTACATCATCATTCACACCGGAGAGAGGTTTGACTTCCTACTTGAAGCAAAACATACAAGAAAAGACTACTGGATACGTGCAGAGACTCTAGAGATTGATCACAATGGCCAAGGGCCACCATACAAGTCATTAGAACATGTGGCAGAAGCTATTTTGCACTACGAACAGGATGGAGACTCGGCCGACCCCAATGTTAATGTGCCGTCGACAGAATACGAAGATATAAAAAGAAGGTCTCCACCCCTACAGTGCTCCTTCTACAAACCATGCAAAGCAGTAAACTGCCCATTCAAGAACTTCCATCCATCTTATCATGTTACCTGTATTAATGTTCAAGACCTACGTTTACTTGAGCCAACTCCACCAGCGGAGCTTCCGAACGCAAACCCTAAAACCCCAGGGCAATGCCAAAATTGTCGACATTTCATCAACTTCAACTTTGAGGGTGACTCTCAAACTAGTGCAGTGAATGGGCGCAATTTCATTCTTCCCTCCTTTCCTCCTCAAACCCAACCTGAAGAGTTTCTCAAAAAGGAAAATATTTGTGACCTGAAAGCCGACTGCAACCCATCAACAACCGCGTGCTCATGTGTGCAAGTGATAACTATTCCCCATAAGGAAACTATTCAATTGGTATTTTCAGCAATTGGTGCTTACCACAACGCTCATCCAATTCACCTTCATGGCCATACCTTCCATGTCGTTCATGTCGGATACCCAGATTATGACCCAAAAACTGGATTTATAACAAAGCACAACAGTGATATATACTGCGATGACGTTCACTGCACACAACAGAACTGCGATAAGAGGAGATGTACCAGACCAAGATGGAACCGAGAAAAGCGCTTTTCTATAGATTCCCATACGATCAGAAAGGACACAGTTATGCTCCCTGCTGGAGGGTACGTTGTTATCAACTTTCTATCCGATAATCCTGGCAACTGGTTTCTTCACTGCCACATAGAGGTACACCAGCTCGAAGGAATGGCAATGATTGTCAATGAAGCTCCACACGAGCAAAGTCAATTGCAACCACCGAAAGAGATGAACAAGTGTGGAGACGTTGAGATAAGTGTCCAAACGTATCAAAACTATCAATCCAAGTTCCACAGAATGTACGCTTAGCTGCCAAAAGAAAGGTTTTAGCACTCTGAGCAGCCAAAAGTCTAACTACAACCACTAAGCTCTTAGTCAAAACTATAACAAAATTCTCGAACGTGATTGGTTATCACCAGCCCGATTTGAGCACTAATAGGACAGTGCACGCGTCATGCTTGTAATTGGACAGTGTAATAGGATATTTTAAGGGATAGTAAACACGTCGTGCCTATGTTAGTGGACAAAACGCGTCATGTACGTGCGTTGTCACGCATTTCACCAAGTTAACAGTTTTTTTTACTTAAAACGTATAACCGATGTCTATTTTCTTTCTCAAATTTTGTCATGGTTTTGACTATTTTGTAACAGGACTTCGTGTCTTCCAATTCTGTCTGTAATCATACCTGTGATGAACAATTAGGTCTCCCGCTTCGCGGTCGTCCTATTTTGTTAATCACTCGTATGATTATAGACAATTCAGTCCTATTACCATTATTAATTAGAAAACAATCGGTGGAAATGCATGTGCTAAAAGCCGTACTTTCTCTCCGTATCTTTATCTTCGTGCGAAACACAAAACTAGCAATTAAGTTGCTACTGCTCGTTATTCGATGAATACCCGAAGCGATGCGTCGTGCATGTATGTAACTTGACAGCCTTTTTCAAGAGGCAAATTCTACGTCGACTCGCCTTATTTTCAGACCCAAACGTTCTTTCTTTTACACAAGGTAACGCAAAGGAAAATCATGGTATCGAATAATAAACACACATCAGACGCGCATAATACCTATATGAGCGTACATTTGTTCGCGTATATATGCGTCTAACAACGTGCAAATGTGTGTACCAAATTTCTATGCGTAGTTAACGAATAAGTACGCGGCTCTGTAGTTGTTGACGCAATCTCTGTTGGAAACAGAGTGGCATTGTTAGGAAGGTATTCCTCAAATTTTTCAAAAATTTCAGCATCCTCAACAACTTCAATGACACTTTATGAATGCTGATTCAGTAAGTAGCAATGTCGTTCATTACGTTATCAGAATGCTTTCCACGTATTTTCTTTAAGATTTTTATTAAGTTCAGTAGGCATAGCAAAGGCTAGAACGGGGCCTAGTTCCTGCAAATGTTGGCCAATGATAGCTACCGCACCTCAACCTTGAACTTCAATACTAGTCCTAGTGCGAGTTCTCATAACATCACCTCTAGAGTTTGGCTTGTCGGGAGGGAGGGGGATCACTACCACAGAATTTAGGCCAACCAGTAAGCAGAGAGGATAATGGGAAATATCGATCCTAAACCCTTCGTATCGTTACTATGTAAGATTACAAGGCTATACATGTACCCAGCTAATGATGGGTTTAATTTTGGTAAGCAAAACACGTATCACCCACAACCAAATATTATCTTAGTCGATTTCACGAGACAGTGGACTTTAGTCGCGTTTAAAGTAAATTGTTAGCTGATTAGGAAAGAAGAGAAAAATGAGATAATCGTGAATTTCGTCGGGTTTCAAGTGAACCGTTTAAGCTGATGGAAGACATTTCGGATGTTTAGCAATCAGTTTGTGGTACTTGTATCTATAAGCTACCTTGAATTTCTTATTACCTTTTGAAAGTGTGTTAAAAATGACCTACTTGATTTCCTAAGATTTCGCAGGTTCAGGATTCTGTACTTTGGACGAAACTTAGATATTTCAGACTACTACTCAATTACGTCTTTGCTGAATTTTTTTCATTACTTTGTTTACGGTGTATTTTAAGTTTTTTTGCCTTTTTTTGTAGATATTCAGTGTTTAACCAGTAATATCTTTGTATTCATAGGCTTTGCTGAATGTTTGATTACCTCGCTGAGTAGAAGTTTACTATAAGCAGTACTGTTGTACTTTATTGAGTGCCCTTTAATTGAGTGTCGTAAAAAATTAACTTAATCTCAACAGCCAATCAGAAAAAAGGAAAGCAGTACAAGTTGCCAATTATACCCGCACCTGTGCAAGGCCCAGGAAAACATTTTAGCTTTGGATCTGATTGGTCGAGAGGATGTTGTGATATTTCTGGACCAATCACCAGTCAAGGTAGATCAAAACGAGAGAAGTTATGCATTACTTTTGACACTCAGTTAAAAGGTGTTCTTATGCATCATGAAGACTTCAGTCATAAGGAAAAAAAAACGCAAAAACTTGCACGTAAAATTTGGTTGAATGAGAATATCAACAGTTGTTTTATTCATTAGTCTCTGATTTGATGTTTTAAAAGTTCATATAGACATTTCGCATAAGTGCTATTTACTCTTTAGGAGGGGTCACCTTTGACAAACAGTAACACACATTAATTCATTAACTGAGTTGATAATGTAAATCAGTCACGGTATAGAGTTTACAAGCCGACGTTTCGAGCATTGGTCCTTCGTCATTCGCTCTGACGAAGGGCTAACGCTCGAAACGTCAGCCTGTAAACTCTTTACGGTGGCCAATCTACATTATCAACTCAGTTGATAAAACCAAAATTATCTTGTTATACCCTCCCACCGAGCAGCACCACAGTTTCTTTGAAAACTTACCCCCTTAAATCAATAACACATATACATTGATAAAGTTGTCGAGTAATTGACTGTGATCTTTCGCACGCATGTTTCATCTCCTTGGAGGAGTGCATGAAGGAGAAGAGCACTCACAACTACCCCTCCTCCCCCTTCCCCCCCCCTTAAACAGAAATTGGCGGAAAATATGAAGATGCAAGTTTCATTTTCCAGTTCAATAATCAATTGAAAATCAATTTTTGGTTACCTGATCAAACTCTGAAAACTTTAAACAAGGAATATGCTTGGAAATGAGACTTCAACCACATATTCCCCATTAGAGTTGATTGATAAAATTGCTTTCAAAATGCTCATTTGATGTTTCCTTCAATCCAGTAGAAGTGTATTCAAACGATTTCTTTCAAACAGGTTAATTGGAAATCTTTGTTTCCTTTAAAGAAGGACTGATAGATTTTATTTTTTTTTGGAAAATGACAGTTTAAAGCTCTCATGTTCTTGTGGGAACACCCCATGATATTTACACAACCTCCGAAATCAACTCCACTTCACCCATTTAAAGAAATTGCAACGAGCTTCAGGATTGGAGCAGTGTCCTTGTGGTCTGGCACAACAATGAAACTGCTTCCCTTGATTTGGACCTTTGATTTTCACTGTTCTTAGGACGCACGGCTCCTTGTGACCGCTACAAAGAGGGGGTGGACGCGGCCCAGAGAGAATACTTTTCCAAATTGCCGCATCCACTTTACGCTTCTCTGCGCAATCTTTGCGACTCAATGCGTTTTCAGGGACAGGTTCGTTTTCAGAAACATTTAAAGCCGCGTCTGAAGATGAAACGGAGGTATTTGAGAGTGAAGAGACGTTATCCGCGCCTGCGTACTGTTCAAACTCGGAAGGAGTAGTCTTAACTAAATCAAACGCTTCGTTAGTTACCTCGGTGACACTCTTATTGACTGCAACCGGGTCTGTAGACCTTTTAAAGAAACTAAACAGATTTGTCTTTGGCTGTCCTTCAGCTTTGTTTTTCCCTCCGGCAGATTTTTGACGTTTTACAGATTTGCTTTTGACATCACCGCAAGAGGCACTCCGTTTTAAGGACGTCTTTGTTTCCTGTGTAACACTTAAGTCCGTAGAACAAGCCTCGGGTTGACTCTGCGACTGTTGTCCATGTTTCAAAAAGTAAGACTTAAGTTTCTGTTGTTTCCCAGAAAATTCTGGCATAAACTTCGTACAAAGGGAAGGAGGTTTCAATGCAGCTTGAAAAGAAGTCTTCAAAGTTGCTACAACTGGACAGTGATCTGAGCCCTCGACATCGGCCAGTATCTCACAGTTTAGGAATTCTTTATCAACAAGTTCTTTATCGGCAAAAATGTAATCAATTCTTGTACCGTAATTGGTTTGACGCGCACTGGTCACCGTGCACCAATTGGTGTAAGCGTCACGCTGGGAAGGGTGAAAATAACGGAATGAGTCTACAAAAAGCCCACCTTGTGCTTGGAGAGGATCACCTGTGTTATGGTCTGGATTAGCGCCGTTAACTTCATATGGAACCAAAAACTGATCCAACCACTTTCGTCCAGGATGAGCATTGAACAGTTCCTGAGGAAAGAGTAAAAACATCTACGTGTAGATTTGTTAGATCACACAATTATCCTTCTCTTTTAAGACCTTCTGTGTTAGCAGAAAGGTAACATGTGGGTTGGAGACGTTCTTCCATATTTCTGGGCAACACCCTGATCGGGTTAAAAAGAAAGGATTGTAATGATTTTTTTAATGAATTAAAATTTATAGTAAAACAAAATTTTTAAAAAATTGGACCAATGACGACATATGGATGGATCTATGTCACATGATGAACCATTTCATTATCAATAATCAAATCATATGGTAAAAACAGTGACGTTGGGTCAGCATTTGAGCAGAGTGGGCCACTCTACCAGAGCTTGTCCACAATTCCCATTGCATGAAGTTACTAAGTTGTTGCTTTTCCCACTGGGTGTTGTTGGTCCATGGCAGGTTACCCCCAAGCATTTCCACCACTTTCCCTGAAATTTGGCCTAAACCCATTTATTCTGCTGGGTAGAATGAGGAAATGGGAGGGTTAAGTGTCTACCCTAAAAACACAACACAGTTAGCAGCCTGGTCTTGCAGCGAGACCTCATGACCTCGCATGAAGGAGAAGCTGCTTGTGCCCATTGGACAAGTCTGACATACTAGCTGTGACCCTAAGGCTATTAAATCTCCCAAAAAACAAAACAAATGGAAAATGAAATTTTTATGTTTATTATTAGAGAAGGGGAAAAAAATTAAAGTATGGCCAAAATATTTACCTCTTTATCAGGATCACAATGATCTATCATTTTATGTGATGTGTTAATGTCACCAAGAACAATGACGTACCTACATTGAAAAGAAAAACAAATAACTGAGGAAGGTCAAATCTTGACATTTCAGTATGGTAAACATATCTGTAGATGTATCTTGAGGCTCATGCTCCTCTGTTACCAGCCTTGTATAAAGTGACAGGTTGGTTTCTAGGGTAATTTAACAAAAATATTCTTTCCTAAAGATACTGTTGGGCTCCACTGACAAGCAAGAGAAACAGCAAGTTGGTTATTAACTACAAGTTGATTAACCCTTCAACTCCCAGAAGTGATGAACATAAAATTTCTCCCTGCTATACGCATACATTCTTCAGCAAACAGGCGATGAGAATATTCAAACTTATCAGGTAGAAGCTGCTATCTTGATCTACCACCAAGTTCTCATCACTAATTTACAAGGAAATGTGTAGCAGCTACAGGGGAGAATTAACAATCAGATCTTGGGAGTTAAAGGGTTAAGGCACACATGATTAGCACTGAAATTGCCAATGCCAGTTTGACAAAAGCCAATAGCCATTAGCTAACCAATCCCTTCAAAAAGTAAAACAATGTTTAATTTCCACACCTTCATTGAGGCATAACTGGGTAGTTTAGTATTGTTGACTAAATTGATAACACTAATTGGCCACTGTAACCCTTCGCTCTAGATAAAAAAGGGCTAACACTCAAAACATCAGCTTTGAAACTCTTTACAGAGGCCAATTTATACTTTTAACTCAGTTGAGAACATAAAGTACCCTGTTATACTCTCCCACCAATGCAGCACCACAGTTCTCTTAGAAACTTATCCCCTTTATTAAATTGAGGCACAGCTTTTTTATTTATTAAATGCAAATATTAAAGAAAAAAAAAGCCAAACAAAAGAAACATACAGTTTCTGTACCTTCCTGCATTGACAAGGGATTCAGCTCTCTCCTGCAGCAATTTATAAAAGTTCATTTTAAAATCCACTCTTTCCTTATTCTCCTTGTCAGCTCTGGGACAGTACACATTAATAATAACAACTGACTTGCCCTCAGGGAGAGTATGTTCTGTGAGTATGGCACGACCCTCATTATCCAGAGCTTCTAGCTCATCAGGTGTGAAGTCAGTGTTACTGCCGTAACAGGCAATAGATGGCTGAGGAGTAAGGCAAGACGAGAGACCCTCCTCAGCAGCTTTAGGTGTCACTGCGTCGCGGCAAAATGATGCAACTCCTGTGGAGAGAGCACCCACAGTTAGCTAAAATTACAAACAGTGCATTCTTAAGATCTGGAAACTCATTTATGCATACATTTCCTCTCTATGCTATTCAAGAGAATTGAGGTGTAACATAACCTTGTATACATTAAAAGAGTAACATCATCCATTCAAAATGGAACTTTTATACTTTGCAAAGAACCAAAGGTGAATCCACATGCAAGGCAAGAGTTCCACAGCAAAGGGAGTTTATATCCCAATTTCTGCAGTATCATGAGGGAAATCACAGTTTTCTTCTCCCACTCTCTTCACCCCCAGAAAAGATACGCTGCTTGTGCATTAAGAGTAATTTACCAAGGCCTAATGTCCTTTGAAAGGTGAATAACACTGTCCAAAGAATAAGTTACTATCCAGTGTATAATTAGTAAATAAACTCCTTCAGGAAGCTGGTATGTCACATGATAATGTACTGTAAGTGGTTGAGGTATTGTTGGAAAAATAAATATTTGGCAGAGAAGTGAAGCATTGAGGGAAAATGTGAAATTTTGACGATAATCTCTCAGCCAAGGACATTGTCAGCCCACATACCAGCTGCCTGAGAGGGGTTTAATTATTTTATAACACCTTCATTAAATTTTGCTTTGCGTGTTGACAGCAAAATTTTACTGACTGTTTGTGCACTTTCCGGAGCAGCATTTGAGATAAGCTTTCTAATGTCACTACTGGTGGAATCCACAAAACAAGTTTGTTTTCTTCCACTTAAAACAATAAAGGTGAAACTCATGAGCTGGTTTTTTTCTGCTGGGTTAGTTGCTTTCCCATGGAAATAATTGGAGGATAAATATCAATGTAAATGGGGGTTATGGCCTGATAATTGTCCAAGGATTTTGTTAATGGAAAGTAGCCAATAGGGATGCGCAAAAAATTATAGATGTGCTACATTAGTGTCAATATACCATGTTGCACTATCAACAAGACAGAGATTATCCAGAGAATAGCATGATCTATTCAAAGAAATGGGACCAGGTGTTCCTGCAAGTTTGCCGAAGATCAATCCTAAAATATCCTTGTCAGGGGAGAAAATGTGAGAAATTATGTGCCTTCCATAGAAAATCACAAAAGACCCCCATTTAAACAAGCTTAAAGATGAACTGGGCCATCATGAATAATCACTGCATTATTAAATTAATTTTAAAAGTGAATCTACATGCAGCAAGGGTCAGACCTGAATGTTTTAATCCCAAGACCAGTCTCCTATGAGACATTCAGAAAATACAAAATGCCACACCCCAGGCTGATTTCCTTCACTCCTTATACTATAAAATGAGCAAAAACGAGAGCTAGCTCTTAAGTTTAGTGGCACAAGTCGGCTTGCATAAGCTCAAAAGCTATACATTACAGTTTGATTTTCAAAAGCACAACCAAAATTGGTGAGGAGGGACAAAATTGCTATCTTTTACATACCAGAGTATCCAGTCTTCACTTTTGAGAAGCTAAAATAAGCATTGTAACCATCCACAATTGCTGTCACTTCATCTAACATATCACCTATAGTGTGAAATAAATGCAGTTTGTTCGTGGTGAGTATAAAACTGCATAACCACCCTAACTTAGCCCAGAGAACAGGTTTAATTTTGGCAAGTGAGTGCTCAGTATTTTCTTAGCAAAAATTATGGCTGCTATCTTTGATTTCAATGGAAGCAGAAGGCTGGGGAGAGAAAGAAATTTGTACCAAGACAGTCAAAAATAAGGAGAAGGCTGGGGATGGAGGAGTGAATACTACCTTCCCCTGCCCCCTACCCTCACCATCCACTTTGACTCCAAATCAAACATGGCCAGTGGGATAAACAATTGTGAGCTTATAACTTTAACTTGCCCTCATGAGACACATGAATTGCAGAATAACACTAACTGTTACTAACTGGGACTCTGTGTAATTCCTAACCTATAGCACTAACTTCTGTTAAGAACTGACTCTAGAAAGCTGGTTTCCTAACAACATGTAAGAACAGACTCCCCTCGTCAGGTGTCAATTTAACTACTGGCACAATGAAAAGACTTATTCACCATGTTAACATCACAAACTAACCAAACAGACAAGCCAAACATTACCAACGGATCAAAACCAACCAATTGCGACACTTGAATCTTACAGCCAATAACATGACAGCAAAACTTACCAATCGGTTAATATGAATCAGACAAAGAACATTCGAATGACAACAATCATTGACTCAGATGATGATTTCTGCTCAGTTTGTCGAAACGTCAGTCACCACTACCGACTACAGTCCTTCTCAGGACTACACTCACCCGGACGATCAAACTGCCTTTGTTCCATTGCAATCATACGGTATATTTTTGTATGCATTAACAATCTTGTAGTTGGAATTAAGTGGCTCTTCTTTCCCAACTTTTTGGAATGTTGGTGGGAGGAAGACTGCCAACGCTCTCACTACCTTGCCATTCCTGTTTCCCGTATGTCCGAGCAAAAGGGAAATGTTGGAAAATTGAACAGACCTACGCGACTACCTAGATGCTTGCAACCGGCTGAAATAATTTGATGTACATGTGCAGTGTGTACTTACGAGTAACTTTCGTCTCTTGCAAGCAGATAACATCAGCTTCGAGGGAATCTAAAAGGACTTTCAACGATCTTTCACGCCTAGAGGCACGAATTCCGTTGATATTCCAAGTTAAAATCTTCATTTCTCACGAATTCTCTTCCAAGAACGTCTGATCTATAAACGTTCAACAATTTCGCGCGCTGGGCTGACTGTATCTGTCAGCGGTATTTAACTTCAAAATGAAGTATTCTGTATATTTCGCATAAAATCTCCCATTGGCTGTCTCTTTCGATGGGAGAGGGGTGGGTCATATACTATTAATTTCTCATCATTTTCGAGAGTCTGAACATAAAATAACGGCAACGTCGATTCCAATTTTAATCAATTATCTTTGTTTTTGACAAATAACTTTACATATCCACACCATCGAAATGGAAAATTTGTTCCTAACAGGTGCATCAGCACTTAAAAAATTATTTCATTAATTATTAAATATCGGAAATATTAAATATCATTTCTTTTCAAGTTAAGAATGATTATAAGCGATCACGGTGACCCGTAGTTATCCTCATCCGCTGTATGACAACTGTCCGGAGTTTGTACTAACAGAGTATCATATAACAATAAATGAGAATTTGCCATTCAATCAGAACATTGTTCAAGTGAAGGATGATGAAAAGAGGTTATACGCAGTTTGGCAAGGAAAAGAAGGAGAGGCTTTTATAATCGATAGACAAGGTATGTTAATTTATGATAAGATAGGAATATTTTAAGGTCTAATAAACGTTCAGTCGAGTAACACAATAGTCAAACGTTGGGCATGCACGAGAGAATCATTTCTGGTAGGAAACGCGTCAACGTCCCGCGTAAAATTTCGGGGGAAAACATAAGAAACAACCACCGTTTCGCAAAATAAGCAAAATAAAATGAACAGGTTAATAGGAATCTGTTAAAGGAAAAAGAGTAGGGAAGAGGAAAACTCGAGATTTTTGAACACAGAGCCTATTCAATTGAGTACGGGTATCCTGTTGATTTACCAATCTCTTCTTAGCTTAACCAAAAATTTTATAGGCCTTTACAACACCGATACTACTGGCACTTCTACTATTACTACTACTGCTACTACTACTGTTACTACTAGTTACTACTATTACTATTACTACTGCTACTGCTACTGCTACTGCTACTGCTACTGCTACTGCTACTGCTACTGCTACTGCTACTGCTACTGCTACTGCTACTGCTACTGCTACTGCTACTGCTGCTGCTACTGCGACTGCTACTGCTACTGCTTTTGTTATTCGTTTACGCAAAATTTACGTTTATTTAAGTCAACAGTTGAAACTATACGGCAAATAAACGTTCATTAGCACTTCCATGAACTTCACTAACTCGAACAAATTTTCAGTAACGCTATTTGCATATGTATCAACATTCAGTGGCATCAACGGATGAAAAATTGCACCTTTGGACAATCAAAGATAACAAATATACTTTCAATCTCGCACAATGGTCAATCATTATCACCAATAGAAAATCAATGACATAGTATGACAATCAGCGCCTTGTTAGTGACATACAATAATATAGTTTGCATAGGGACGCACAATCCATTGCACCTTCATACAATCGTTTATTCGAAACGGTCAATCATTGACGTGAACCGACAAACGTTGGTATTTTTCGATTAATCAATGTTGAATTGCCCTAAAGTGATAAACAACGAAAAAAATTTCAAAACAATCAAAGAAAGAAAAGGAAAGAAATACATAAACTTGTCATTGTATTTTCCTCATGTCAAATATGTTACCTGTTTCCCATCTCATTCGTGATCACATTCTGTAAGGAGAGAAAGGTAATTTTCAATAAAAATTTAATTTGTCTCGTACCTTGCATGTAGCTTGAGGATCTTTGCTTATCTTGATTTAAGAAACTGCTTTGTTGCGTTGCATGATAACAAGTGAATCATTAACCAATTTTTAAAGGCCGACATCTCGAGCCTAAGCTATTAAAATAGAGGGGGCGGAAGTGGGGATGTTTTAATTCACATCTATTTTTAGAAACTTTTGTGGCCACACCCTTATATTAGTCACTGTCGACCACAAAATTTACATATGAAGTGATGTCTCGTGAAAGATACAATGATCTTTCTGTAGTTTTTAACAGCAACACAGATAAGTATTAAAAAAAACCAAGATAAAAACAATGACCCTTTGATGACCTGTTTCCTTTCGACAGAGTCACGCTTGAGCTCTTTGCTTGCGACGAGTCTGGTAACGATTTAAACTCTGCAGAAGTGATCGATATGATAAACAAGGGAAGAATGGAGGAGTTGGACCAAAATGGTTTTAATGGTTTCACTACAGCCATTGAGTACCATTATTCTGTTCGTCCTGAATTAGGGGAACAGGGGGAGGGTTTTGGTTCTCATAATAAAATTTTACCTATTTAGTCCCCCCTCCTCCTTTATGCTCTGTTGACGACGACTATTCCCCCCTCCATTTCCCTTGAAAACCATGTGATTCACAGCCAAAATCCTCCCCCCCCCCAGTGGTTGCATATGTCTCGTAGCTGTTGAGCTTTGAAAGACTGTGGAACTAAGCTGTGCGAAATCATATCAGGTTTGTCCTCTGAGCAAGTAGAATCTTCATGCTGGTGAGCATAGAAGGATCTATTTTGACGTCAATTTTCAAAGAATGATTATCACAGGCGACAAGTGGCGAGGGACTGTTCGCCTGCGGGGTGGGGGATCGGTGGACATTGGTGGTATAGCAATAAAATTTACTAACAGATAGTGCTCTGATATATTCTCATGATCTCTGCTTATTGGCATTTGATTGGCAGTCGATTTTCTACAGAGCCCCTTTACACTCTGTTCATGACGACTGATCCACCCTCCACCTCCCCTGAGAACCAATGCAAGCGCTCCTCCAAACTCCTTCTCTCCCCCAGGAGATAAATAATTTTACTTTTTTGATAACAAGTTAAATGATTTTCTTTATCTTTTTTCAGACTACACTGAACTTTCTAAAGGTAAATATGCTGATTATCGAATGATATCATATTAAAAAGCTTAATCAATGTAGCATCTCTTCTGCTTATGAGGGATGTTTCCTCCACTTATCAACTTCTTCCCCTTGGTTTCCGCGGTCGATTTTGAAAATAGCAGCAGGTCACCCCTTTTAATACGACCGAGAAAATCGTGAGGTCGATGTTATCCGCAGATAGGGCGAGCGTAGTTTCTAGTGCATCTTGGAATAGCAATTAAGGTCGAATTTTGAAAGACAAGTTTTGGATGGCAATATAATAACGCAACTCTGGAACTCATTTCGGAAAGTTATTTTCTCGCACTAACTATTTTGCAGCTGAACCCCGTCTAAAATTGGTTCAATCTTCGGTCTGACAATTGGACTGCTAGTACTTATCATTGCAGTAATTGCCATTGGATTAATTATCACCAAAAGGTAATTAAGGTCTTTTGTATCTGGACCGTTTTTTCGTATTCTGCAATGGCAATTGGTCAGCATTTCAAGTTAATTTGATCTGCATTTGTCGGAAGAGAATAACTACCCATATTAACAGGGATGGGGTTGGGGGGGGGGGGGGGTGGAAATGGAGAGGCTCGTATACTTGATCATATCTCTTAGTCAGAGCGAATGACGAAGAGTCAACGCTCGAAACGTCGGCTTGTAAAAACTCTCTTCCGTGGCCGATTTTACATTTTCAACTCAGTTACTAAATTAATGTGTTGATTTAAATTAACAATATTTTGAGAAAGAAAGTAGACACCGGTTGCACGTTTTTATTAAAATAAACTGTTAATTTGGCGAAATGCGAGACAACAGCGCACGCACACGACACATTCTGCCCCCTAGCAAAGGCACGACGTGTTTACTATCCCTTAAACTGTTATTACACTATCCAGTTACAAGCATAACGCATACATTGTCCTATTAGTGCTCAAATCGGGCTGGTGATAACCAATCACAATCGAGAATTTTGTTATACTTTTGATTAATAGCAAAGTAATTGTAGTAAGACTTTTGGCTGCTGAGAGTGCTAAAACTTTTCTTTTGACAGCTAAGCGTATATTCTGTGGAACTTGGATTGATAGTTTTGATACGTTTGGACACTTATCTCAACGTCTCCACACTTGTTCATCTCTTTCGGTGGTTGCAATTGACTTTGCTCGTGTGGAGCTTCATTGACAATTATTGCCATTCCCTCGAGCTGGTGTACCTCTATGTGGCAGTGAAGAAACCAGTAGCCAGGATTATCGGATAGAAAGTTGATAACAACGTACCCTCCAGCAGGGAGCATAACTGTGTCCTTTCTGATCGTATGGGAGTCTATAGAAAAGCGCTTTTCTCGGTTCCATCTTGGTCTGGTACATCTCCTCTTATCGCAGTTCTGTTGTGTGCAGTGAACGTCATCGCAGTATATATCATTGTTGTGCTTTGTAATAAAACCAGTTTTTGGGTCATAATCTGGGTATCCAACATGAACGACATGGAAGGTATGGCCATGAAGGTGAATTGGATGAACGCTGTGGAAAGCACCAATTGCTGAAAGCACCAATTGAATAGTTTCCTTATAGGGAATGGTTATCACTTGCACACATGAGCACGCGGATGTTGATGGGTTGCAGTCGGCGTTCAGGTCACAAATATTGTCCTTTTTGTGAAACTCTTCAGGTTCGGTTTGAGGAGGAAAGGAGGGAAGAATGAAGTTGCGCCCATTCACTGCACTAGTTTGAGAGTCACCCTCAAAGTTGAAGTTGATGAAATGTCGACAATCTCGGCATTGCCCTGGGGTTTTAGGATTTGCGTTCGGAAGCTCCGCTGGTGGAGTTGGCTCAAGTAAACGTAGGTCTTGAACATTAATACAGGTAATATGATAACGTGGATGGAAGGTCTTGAATGGGCAGTTCACTGCTTTGCATGGTTTGTAGAAGGAGCACTGTAGGGGAGAAGAACTTTTTTTTATATCTTCATATTTTGTCGACGGTACATTAACATTGGGGTCAGCCGAGTCTCCATCCTCTTTGTAGTGCAAAATAGCTTCTGCCACATGTCCTAGTGACTTGTATGGTGGCCCTTGGCCATTTTGATCAATCTCCAGAGTCTCTGCACGTATCCAGTAGTCTTTTCTTGTATTTTTTGCTTCAAGTAGAAAGTCAAACCTCTCTCCGCTATGGATGATG